ATTCTGATTATGATGATGATAAAAAATCGTGCTAAAGGTCAAACAGATGATGGGTGATTGAGAGTTGATGATGATCATGACATCATCACATATACAAACACATCATCATCATGCATTGATTTTCAAGATATTTTTTATTTTATTTTTTTTTTTTTTTTGGTTTTGGTTTTGGTTATCTTCAGAATTTCAAAACGCATGTGTTTCATCATGATTTTGTAGAAAATGTTTTTTTCAGTGTGGAATGTGTGTGTGTGTGTCTGTGTTAACATTAACATCGATTCAATATTCAATCGATTCGAATGAATGAATAATAATAGATAAAAAATGATGAATAAAATTTTCATTAGTCAAACAAACAATAAATGACATTGAAAAACCTGGAGAATCGATATCGATAAGATATTGCGTTAATTATTTAAACATATATGGAATGGAATTTTTTGCATTTTTTTTGTATTAATATTTCCTACGATCATGTGTGTCAAAAAAAAAAATTTTTTTTTGCATTAACAAAAATGAAATGAAAATATTCATTGGAATTCATGATGATGACGATTCTTGGAAAATAATCATCGTCTCTCTCATCATCATCATCGATTGGATTGATGGTGAAGGACGAATTTTTTTCTTTAATTTTACATTCTTCTTAAACAACAATCGAATAATTATAATCGATATGATGATGAAACAATTGATTAATCGATAAATACACAAATGTTTGTTCGATTAGTATGACGAAAAAAAATACGGATCAATCAATCAATCATTTGGACAATTGGGTTCGTATGATCGAAATGTTTTGGAAAATTCTATGTATATGGATGATTTGCTCGTCGTATCCCATTCACAGAATCTTTGGAGTTGATGAACGTAATGAATGAAGCAAAATCATCGTTTTGAATCGTCTGGTTTTGTTTTACATAAAATGGTATCGAATTTTACATTTATTCGTGATTGTTTTGAAATCGAATCGTCAAAAATGAAATGAAAATATTCATTGGAATTCATGATGATGACGATTCTTGGAAAATAATCATCGTCTCTCTCATCATCAAACAAACATTTGGACAACAACAACAATAACAATATGATGATGGGAAAGCCATACATAACCGATACACACATAGATAGAAATCTCAAAAAAAATTTGATTTAATAATGTAATGATGTATATGCTATAAATAATAATAATAATTAAATTGACAACAAAATTTTTTTTAGATTTGAAAAATTAATCCCACCAAAAAGTGCGTGAAAATGACAAAATGACAAAAACAAGTTCAAATTTCATTACAAATCCATTACATGCACTTGTTGAATGATGAACAAAAAAAAAAAAAAAAAACAATGATGATGATGATGATATTTACTCGAATACAATGGATTATAATGGCAGTAAATTGATTTTTTTTTTTTTGAGTCCACACGCAATCAAAATGTGTGTTTTTGTGTATATCACAAAACAAATTTGAACCGGAGGTAGTTAAGCAAAAAAAAAAAAATATAATATGGATGGATTTAATTTTATAATGCTGAAATATTAATCATCAACGACAGGTAAAACAAAAACAAAAAAATGATTGGAATTTCTGTAATATCTCGCAATATATTTTTTTTATCTTTTTATTTTCGTATCCTGTGTTTCTGTGTGTGTTTGTGTTCGATTGATGATGAAACAGGGGGTTATCACATATTATTATTATTATTATCATCATTACAAATGACCATAGATTTTTTTTCTTTAGAATATAGCCATAAGAACGATTAAAATTGTTGAAAAATTTAATTTTTGAATTACAATACTGATTGAATCATCAGCATTGTAATAATTCATTAATGATGTTTGGACCAAGGTCACAACAATAACGAAATTTAATTTAACACACACACACACATACACACACACATTTATTCGTTGATTTAATAAAAAAAAATTGACGAATAAATTGAATAGAAATCTTTTTTGAAATATAATATAAAGAAAAAAAACAAAACAAAACAAGAGAAAACAAAATTGGCCAACCAACGCTTTAAGAAAAAAAAAAAGAATTCGAACACACAACACACACAAACATTCGAATAATTGAATGTCACATCATCATCATCACATATATAATGCTGGCCATGGATGGATCCATTCAAATACAACGAAACTGATATTATTATTATCATCATCATCATTGAAATTGAAACCAAAATGGAATTATTTTTTTTAAAAAGGGGAAGGAATAAGAAAAAGAAATTGAAATGTATGTAATTATTAGTATACATTTATTCATCCCTTTTCATCATCATCATCATCATCATCATCATCAGCAGCATTTTTTTCGCAACTGTCATGTATGAAATGAATAAAAACAAAACAAAAAAAAAACGATCCCAGATGGATAAGAATCGAGAAATTTCACCGAAATTTCCACAATTTATCATCAAAATTCTAATCAATATTGATTTATAATGAAAAAATTGATCGAATGATCAAAGATTTTGGTCAAAATTGTTAAGAATTTGGTCAAAATTCCTGGTATTTTGTAGCAGCTGAATAATAATGGAAACGAAGAAGTAAACAAAAAAAAATTTTTTATTTTTATTAATAAAACTTTTTCTTCTTTTCTCTTTATAATAAAAAAAAATAATCCAAAATAAGGATGTGAATAACAAAAAACAATCTTTTGCGTCGTCTTGCGGTGAATTTATTTTTTTTCATTCATTCATTCAAAAATGTTCTATGATGTGTTTGGAGAAAAACAGTACAGAACAGTGAAAAAAAAAATTTTCCTCACCCTCTGATAATCTCAAATTGAATAATCATATACTACTAGCAGTGGAAAATATATTGCTAGTAGCATATAAATTCTTATGTTCATTTAATTATACCACTATCTCAAAATTGTGGTTGTTTGAAATGCACACAGATAACAATAAGAATGAGAAGCAAGATAAGAGAAAGATTGAGATCTTCAGGAGAAGGCAGAAACCACTCCGCCTACCACAGACACAGACATACACACACACACACGCACTTATACAGCTTGTATAAGTATATATCAAATAGCAAACTATTCTATTCTACATACATAAAGAAGCATTTTCATGCAAGAGGCGCGCGCGTTTGTCAAAAAAAGATAAAAACTTTTTTTTTGTTGTTTTATTTTTTAATATATTTCATTTCATTCAAAGTTAGTCAATCAGTCGGTCAATTAGATCAAGTGTCTCGATAGTCATTTTTTTGTTTTGTTTTAATAATCGATAAATGTTTCAAAGATCAAATTGGATCAATCCAAAATAATCCATACAAGTATATCAAGTGAATAAAACAAATTACATTGTCTTTTGTTTTCGATCGATCCATATACATCAAATATATAAAGAAGCCATACATGTATTTGTTTGTCTGTTTTTTAAAATTGAATTAGTGCAAAATTTGGTGATTGATTGAATTATCGATTATTATATTATCATCGAGCTCATATTACCCAAACGAACTTTCTTTTGTTTTTTTCATTTCATTCAAATTTTCAATCGATGTATCATCATCATCATCATAATAATCAAATAAACAAAAGGTTGTTAACAACATCGACAACAAGGAAGAGCTTGCCTCTCTAATGATATCATTCAATGACGAATCACAAAATATTGAAAATCAATGTCAATTTGTTGATTCATCTTCGATAATCAAATTATTCAATCAACATTCCATTCATTAATACAGGTTTTTGTTTGTTTGTTTTGATTGTTGATTTCTGGTATTTCGGTGTTTAGCGAATTTTATCATCATCATAATCATCATACAACAAATGATGACCATTCATCGAAATGTGAATCATCATCATCATCATCATTATTATTATTATTTTTATTGCCAATTGATCTCATCATCATGAATTTTTCAACATTGAACAACAACCACAATAATGATAATGATGATAATAATAAAATCACTAAATACAATCGATGATGAAATTTAATAATTCGAATGTTTCGGATTATACGTCATTTGTGTACGGTAAATTTTTTAAATTATTTTTTGTTTCTAATATAATGATGAAACTACACAGTATCATGTTTTTTTTAATCTTTGTGTGTGTTCGATTGTGAATGCTTACCAACAACAAGTCAAGTTTAAATTGAGAATGAAATCGATTGTTAAAATAAATCGAACGAATCAATGCTCGATCAATCGAGAACATAGTAATCATCATCAACAATTATAATAAATAAACAGATCAACAAACTTTAATCATTCATATTATACACATATAACCAACAAGACAAATGAAAGCAAAAAAAAAATAAAATAAAATAATCCGACATTTCGGAAGCTTATTCATCATTAAACAAATATAAATAAATCATATCAGAAAGAAAAGTCGCCACAAGCAATCAATCAATCAAAAAAAAAAAATTGAAAAAATATCATCTGACATCATCTGAACGCAAAATAATTTTTTTTTGTTGTTGTGTGTAAGTGTGTGATCATTGGCCCATTCAATCACAATCGATTATTGAAAAATTTCATTGATCCATATAATAAATTGTGTTTGTATATGTTTGTCGATGAATTGTCAATGAAAGAGAGAGAGAGAGAGAGAGAGAGAGAGAGAGAGAGAACAGTGAAAAAATTTTTTTTCTTTCCTTTAATTTCAAATTGGTATATCGTATCTGATTTTTTTTTCATTGATTGATTGATTAATAATTTGTTTTGATTTGCGATGATGATGATGATGATGATAATGATGATCAACCACGACGACATCGATTAATGAATTGTATATTTGTGGAAAGATTATTGAAGAGAGAGAGAAAGAAAAAAAACGTACTAAAAACAAATGATATCATCGTCGTCATCATCATCATCATCATCATCATCATAGCATTAAACATCATAAAGTTTTCGTCAAATAAATTCCAAATTATATTTTTTTTATTCATTTTTCATATTCAGGATTAATTATATATATCAATATCTCATTATTATATGGCCAAATCAATTCAATTATCATCGATCAATCATTCAATTTTTTTTTGGAATCACAGCATCAATAATAATCAATATTGATTTGATTTTATTTCCGATTTCCGAGCAACAAGTACAGCAAGAAGAAGCGAAAGAAAAGAAAAATATTTTTCCATTGAAATGATATAATCTCTATATTTTTCTGTATAATCAAATCTAAAAGTTTGAAAAAAGTAAAGAAGCGAAAATCAAAAAATTATATTTCGATCCATAATTTGAAATTCAACTCGGTTTCTTATATTCATCAGAGAAATAAGAATTTTTTTCCCGGTATTTCGAACGAAATAAAAACCTGGTGTGAACAATAAATACCCGAATTGCGGATAACAAAAAAATAACAAAAACCGATAAACAACCATCAACAAAACAAAAACAGCAACGAAGACGAGGAAAAATAAAAAGTCCGTATCAATGAATCTCGTTCGGTGGCACATGACACATGTTAATTAACAGGTAGGTGGTGATGGTTTCATTTGCATTTTTTTTTTGCTATTCTGATTCATTCAGCTGATGACCCCCATCCATTCTATTACTTGCTTGTTTTTTATCGAATATTTCATGAGGAGGATTTCTATTTCTTCATGTTTGACATTTTTATTATATCGATTTGATTTCTTTCTTTATACGCGTTTAGATTTGAGGTACGAAATATTTTTTATTTTCGTGATAATTTTTTTTTTCTTTTTGGATTTGATTTTCACCATTTGTTCGTTGAAGTAGTCGTCTTCGTTATTTTTTTTTACCAATAGGTAGTGTTTATTTTTCAAATGACTTAACTTAATAGCAACAACAACGAGTATGATATACTTATATACAGACACATTGATAATATCAAATTATATATGGCCATATAACGAACTTTGATCGTCTCAAGTTCTTTAATAATAATAAAATATGGACCACCCTCTGATCTTGATGAAAAATTCACTACCACCACCACCAATGATATCATCATCACGTGTGACTTTAGGTAGGTTAGGGTCACCAACAAATATTTTCATCAAAGAATTGACATTTGACATATGCAGTATAATGTGGAATTTTTTCCTTCTCTTTTCACAATTTTATTCCCTTTTTTCAATTGATAAAGTGATTTATTTCTTTGATGATGATGATGATGATGAGAAATATGTAAATCATGATTCGATGAAATTATTTTCATAATATTATATTTTGATGATTGAATTGAGATTTATGCTTTTTGGGTGTGCGATTGTTTTTTTTGTAGGTATGTGTTGCGAAAGAAAATTTTTTAGACTTTTTTGTATATAAACATGAAGGTCAAATCAACTATTTTTTTCTTTCTTTACTGCTCTGTATCTGCGAATACAACCGATTTGAATGTTATGATGACAGAATTATGATGACAGAATTTATAGGTATTCTCATTCATTCATAGATGATGTGTGCATCCACAAATAAATATTCATATGAGTGATTTATGTGGTTTGACCTTTTTTTTGTTAAGGTCAATATATTTCATGATTCATGTTATCAATAATACTGTATGTTGTTTTTGATTCTGTTTTTGTTGAAAATTCTTTGAGGATTTTCAATTTTTCTTGTACAAATTTTTGTTTGTTATCTATCTATCTATGTATAGTGTTTATAATTGTTGTAGTTATTTTGGTCGTGTTGTTATTAATGATGATAGGGTAAAATTCAGTGAAAAAAACGAGAAAAATTAGATTTATCTTATCTTTCAATGTTCGTATTCACAGACACATACATAGCTCATCATCACAAGACAACAGTCTTTTGGACAAAATGATGAAAACAAATAAATATTCTTGAACATCGTTTATTTATTGGTTTGAGATAATGATGAAAGTCTTTTCTGATGTTTTTTTTCAACCTGTACATCGGTCGGTGTGCATGTTTTGTTGTTGGTCATGGCCGCCACAAAACACATTGGATATTTTTGATGAGTATTTCATATAATAAACGATTTATTCATCCGTGGCTGTAATATCTTATTTTGCAGATATATGATGTTATTATTATTTCATCGACAACTTGGATTTTTTTTTGTACATTTGTTATCATTGACTTTTATCAGGGCAATAGTAGTAGTAGTAGTAGTTTTCAATAAGGCCAATGATGATGATAAACAAGGGAACTATGGCGAAAGCAAAAAAAAAATTCGGTAAAATGGACTTTGACACTTGTTGCTTGTTATTATTGTTGTTGATTTGTGGCATTCATATATTTATCATCATCATCATCATCAATAACAACAACAACTGTAATCACATTACGTATTTCACGAGAAAAAGAAAAAAAAAAAAAAAAACCAGCATCCGAAAATGAGATTTTTTTCTGTATGTGTGCGTGTGTGTGTTATTTTCTGGTTACCATGATTTTTGGTATTTGATTTTGGTGTTTTTTCGGTCATTTTTTTTCTGTTTGTTACCCACTATGATTCGTTTGTTGTTGTTATGTTTGCAATTGAATTATATTTGTTGTTTTTGTTTTTTGTTTCTGATTCGGCATATATAAATATATATTGCCTTTTGAATGATGTAATGATGTATGTGTTTATGTATGTAGTATAAATTCCAAATAAAACATAGGGCAAAAAATGAAAAGATTTAGGACCCTAGATTTAGAATAGAATCATTGAGAAATTACCATGGCAATCATGAATGATGAATTGATGATGATGATGATGATTCAATCCAAAGGTTTTTTTTATTTTGTTGCCTTACATTTTATTCATCATCGCCTCTCTATCTCGCCTCCATAATAATAATTTATGAATGAATTTATGTGATGTTGGTGTGTTTGTGTTTTTTTTTATTCGTTATCCGTATTTTTATCACACAAGGTCGGTCCGATTTTATTTATTTCTAGTTGGTTGATATATATTATCTTTACATATGTCACTGGCACACACACACTGTCATCTCAATCTATCTACTAATAAAGGGCTACCAAAATTTTTTTACAGCTTATTTTGTTGTGAATGAATTTTTTTCATTCAAAATTTCAATTTTTTTCATTCATTCATCAATAGAATGATAATATATGGCAATGAAAAGAGAAGAAGAAATTCAATCATATCAATCAACACGCACATATGACTTGTGTTGTTGTGGCCATGTGTCACCTACAATAAATGAATAGTTTTTTTTGTTGGTTTTGAAATTGACACCTCATTATTTGAATTTCATTCAAGTAATTTTTTTGAGGTCAAGGTATTTATATGTGTTTTATGTACCAATGTTTTTTTTACCGACTGATTGTCATCATAATCATCAATGTCCAGGGGTGTTGAAAGCCATATTGTGAAATATATGGTCGATTACACAAGTATAATATGAACATTTTAAAAATTGTTGTTCATACAACACCACCCACCTATGCATAAAGGTGTTAAAGAATTTTTTTTTGTTATTGCTCAAATTCAATTACAATCATATTTTCATATATAATGTGTGCGGATGGATGGATGAATTGAAATTGAAATCGAAATTGAATCAACTATTTTAATATCAAATTCAGGTGATCCATATGTTTGCGATTCATTCGTTCATTCATATAATAATTTTTACATTGTAACTTTTTATGTGATTATTACGAATGAAATTTTTTCGCCTGTTGCCCCCATAAACTTATTTATTTTTTAAATGTATAAAATGATTTTTTCTTCAACATTCTCAATGAAAGAGAGAAAAAAGAAGTTTAGCCGGCTTATTTCAAACAAACAAACAAAAAAAATGGTAATGATCATTTACCATTTTGCACTTGTCAAACCGTGTGTGTGTGTGTGTGTGTGTGTGTGTGTGTGTGTGTGTGTTCAAATAAATATTAGAAAAAAACAGGGTCCATATTTAATCGACTTGTATTTTCATATATTTAACCACGTAATATTATTAGTTTTTTTTACACACGCCTTTCATTCATATGGTTACAATAATAATAATCATCATCATCATCCTTATCTTTTCCCCTTCCTACACCAATTTCTTGTTATTTGTAAAACATTTCTTTTCTTCAGTGGTTATTGTGGTAGAGGAGTTTTCCTTTATCATTTTTTATATGTTTGAATCATTTTCATACACTTTTGCCGTCAAAAAATTGTCTTCGTAATAATAATAATCATGTTGCCGGCTTTTCTTCACCTTTTTTTCGTTTTCGTTGTTCGTTCATGAAAATTCCATTCACATTCTTTTTGTTATCGATTTTGAGCCGCTGATTTTTTGGTTTATAATTAAAATTTCATTTTTTTTCTTTCAAACTTTTGAAGTCTTTATTTTTTTTTATTTTCAACAAACACAACAAACAACATGTGTTTGAATGTTATATTTTGTTGAAAAATTTTTCATTTTTTAACCAAAAAAAAAAAAATCCACATCTATTTCCAATGATGATACGTTTTTTAGTAATAAAATCATTTTTGAAAAACAACAAATATTCAGGAAAAAAAGAAAAAAAGTCAAGTGCATTGTGACACACACATACACACACACTTGTTATGAAATCTAATTGATTTGATTTTTTTATCGATTTGAATCCAATCCAAATCAAATTAGATATAACTACACACACACACACGCTTTCACACATAACCAGATCATTACCATTACTTGATTGAGTTCATTTTAGTTTTTTTTCTTTTTGTTGAAAAGATAAAAAATCTTTGATCATTATCTTCAGACGAACGAAATAAATTATCTAAAAAAACACCATTAAATCTTTATAAATTATTTTAATTATTTGTGTATATATATCGATCATATGCCCACAATCATTACCGCCTACCTAGTTTAATTTTATTTTAAAGCCATATGGTTGATGATATTATATTATAATAAATATCATTATTGTACATCCTACGAATATAACGATTTCAAGTCGAATATTTATTTGATTTTTTTCATGTTTGACAAAAAAAACACCGGGAATATGTATAGAAAAGTTATAAATTTAACTTTGACATTTCCTGAATATGATGATTATGAATATGTTATTTGGTTTTTTTTCGCTTATTCCATTATATTTTTTTTTGTTTGTTCTCATTTTCTCCATGATTTACCTCTTTGTGTGTGTGTGTTGTTTGTGCTTGTGTCTTTAGGCTATAGTAGTTGACTGGTGGTTATCGTTTTCTGAAATGAAATGGTCATTTGTTCGGGATGGTTGGTTCCGCATAAATGAAAAAAAATGTGAATGTTCATCACCTTGAAGGTATTAATGTAGTGTAGTGTAGGGGTAAATGATAAATGAAAATGGTTGTTGGGGGGATAGTAATCAATGAACAAATTTTGTTTTTTTTATTTGAATCAGTTCATTATATATATCGTTTTAGGTCATTTTTTTGTTTTGTTCTATCCGTCATCTTCGTTGTCGTCATCGTCGTCGTTGTTATTGTTAACATATTTCATTTCAACGAAGGTTTTTGCTTTTGCTTCTCATGTATTTCATTCATTCATGATAGAGTTAATTGACTTTTGTCTTGAAATTCACATTTTTCAATTACCCTAAAATCGCGACTATAAGACGCAACTTTCGCAATGCAGATTTTTTTCCCCATAAAGTAACTATTATGCATGACTATTTTTCAACTTTTTTTGCATAAAATGCGCCTTATAGTCGCGTTTTTAGGGTATTTATTTTTTTTTCGAGGAAGAGATAGAGAGAAAGTAAAATGACACCTGTGTGCCATATCAATTGTAGGTAATTTTATCTTTTGTTTGACGAATTCGTTTGTTTCTAATCAATGACAACAGATGAATACATTGAAATTTGTTTCGTTTGTTTTTCTTCTACTAGGAAATAATTAACACACACCAACTTCAATGTTGAATATAATGTCATTTCTAATGTTACAAAGAATTACTAAAAGTAACAATGATGAAATAAGACTTATTGAGAATAAGTTAATTTTCTTTTTAATTCAAATTGGCTTTTGTATGTAAATGTATGTGTGCTTGTGTGGCCATTGTAAGTTAATTGGACATGACATTTGCTTGTCAAAAAAGAGATAAAGAACGAAGAAATGGAAAATAATGTATACAATTGAAAAGGGGTAATCATATTACTATTTTTGTGTCTAAAATTCCAGTTGAATGATAATGATCATATTTAATTTATGTCAATAACAAATTGACTTTTTTGCACAAACAACAAAACCCCATTACTCCATCTATAATTGTCATTTCATTCATTTATTCTATACAATATGTGACAATGAATGAATGAACGAATGATCGATCGATCTATTTGGCCGTTTTTTGTTTGTGATTAATTTTTTTTTGTGTATGTGTGGGTGATATAACAAATTGCTGTATTGATAATCAATCGATGAAAAATTATTATTAAATTGTATTAAGTTGCAATTTGTCACCCGGGTCAATTGTCAAATTAATTTGTTTAACAAGAAAAAAGGGTTTTTTTGGCTTGCCAATCAAAATCAATCGATCCTTTTTCTTTGTTTTGTCACTGTTGAAACAGGCAAACTTTTTTTTGTTGCTACAAATTTTTTCACCGTTAAAAACAATGCTAAGCTTGTATTTAGGAAAATAAATAATATCCTCCAATCATTCAAGGAATATTATTCGATTTATTTTTCATCCATTTCTTGTGAGCAGACACACACACACACGCATACACACACATAAAACAAACCAAACCACAGCCGACAATCAATCTTAATAATAATACCATATCATCATCCATTTATGATATTCATCATCCATTCATCATCTATAAAGGTAAATAAATAATCAAATAAATATGTCATCTGTGTGTGTGTGTGGGATTATATATTATGTATATGTATATATAAAGTTTAGATTTTCCATTTGGTATTTCACATACACAAAGCTAAAGCGCTAAAGTGAGAGACAGATTATATTATTGATGATGTGGGTGACACATACAGTCAAGAAAGAAAAACGAAAAAATGTCACCTAGGCGACATGTCGGCATCAATTTTTTTTCCATACACACAAAAATTTCATTAGCCAGTTCATCATTGCTTATGTGTATGTGTTTATATTATAAGGAGAAAAAAAAGAAAATGTTTTTCGCAGCCATAAAATCAAAATCGAGAAAAAAAATCTTTACAAATCTTGTTGTTTTTTGTTTTGCTTGAATCTCGTCAATGAAAAAAAAATGAAATGAAATGATCTTGATGGATGGATGAATTGCTCAAGATTATTAAACGATGCAACCAACATTTTTTTTTGTTTTGTTGCCTGTTGTTGTTATATCGATTTCAATTCATTCTGTCAACACCAAACATACACACACACAGGTATTATAATTGTAAACATTGCAATGATGATTTTGATAAAAAAAAACTTGTGATTTTATTTTTTCAGAAATAATTATGGAAACATTCCTGTTGAAAATATGAGGTTAAAATTGTTTTTTTTTTGTTTTTGTACGAATGAAATTAATATGAAATGCGATAATAATATTCAATGCAACTTTGATTACCATTGCCTTGCATTGTTTTGGTTCAATATAGATCATTGGAATTTTGTATGATGTGAAGATTTCAATAACAAAAATTTCCCAGAAAACTATTGCAAACATTTTTTGAATATTTTTATTTTTTTTCGTTACATCGTTTCAATTATAGGTAATTAAATTTTTCTAAATTTTTTTTTACATATATAAACATTAGCTGAAGTATATCATTACATATCTCTCAAACATTATTCATTTCATTTTCTTTTTAGATTGATTAGAATGTATATGTTGATGTTGACATTTCTCTATCTCTCTCTCTCTCTCTCTCTTTAGTTTCAATGAAATTGTATCAATCTATTTCTATCCCTATCATCATCATCATTATATTAACCATCATACATAGGACATTTATCTCGATTATTCATGTGTCTAATTTATTATGATGGTTGGTTGTCACAAAAAGGTGCATTACCATTACCATTACTTTTCAATCATTATTATCATCATCACTGATGACAATAAATCTAATGTCGGTAATTATTTATCAACAAATATTTCCTTTAACAAATAAATGCCATACCACATTCCAAATGATGATGATGATGCATGAATTACTAGAAAATTATTGATAATCATTTTTGGATAATTTTTTTTTTGTTTGATAATATATGGTCTTATCTTCATCTCATTCACCATCTCACTTTATTGATGTGCCATCATCATCATCATCATTCATCATGGAAAATGTTTAAAAAATCTTAAAAAAGATGATTAATGTTGATGTTTGATTTCTTTCAATTGAATCTTTTTTTTTTTTTTTTTTTTTTTTTTTCTCACTACTCGATAATGGTGAGTACATATGATCTACTTTTTGTCTAAATTATCAATATTGAGAAATCGAATGTCAAAGGTATATATTTTTTTCAGGCTGTTATTATTACTTTTTTTTTGTTGATGACTTACTTTGTGACTTGGTGTGTTGACAATATTTTTATTAAATTGTCGTAGTGTCTATAACACACATGTGATATATTTTATTACTATTATTATTATTATTTATCATTGCTATTTCTATCAACAATCGTTTTTTATTGATTGACAATCAATGATTTTTTTGTTTTTTTCTTTTGATTTTGTTTTTGTTTTCTCTAATAATTATGACTAGAATTTATTATTATATACGACGACGGCAGCAAATTTTTTTTTGTATATCTATCTATTATTATTAAATGAATCAACTGTACCGTGTGTGTTACAATAGGCAAGACAATTGTTATTTCATTCCTCTGATTTATATTAGAAAAAAATGACGTTAAGCTAGAGAGTCTGTATTTCCGATGTGAAAGTTTTTTTTTGGATTTTTTCCCAAGAATTTCTCTTTATTTATCACAGATTTATGATATTTTTTTACGCATTTGTCTATATGGGCAATCGGAAGCAGTAATAGCGATATTTGAACATTATTTTTTTTGTCGATTGATTGTTTACCAACAAAGTTGGCGTATGCCAAATACAAAGGAGAAAAAGAAAGAGAAACGAATGCCACAAGCCACCAACAAGTGTGTGTGTGTGTGTGTGTGTTTGTATTGTGAAAACAATTTCATCAAATATCTCATTCTTTAAGATTATTATTATTGTTGTCGTTGTTGTGAATTAGACTCCTTGTTATCACTATTATTCTATCGTCAATTAATATATATTTGTGTGTGTGTGTTTGTGTATGGATAACAGTCGGCAGTTTTATTCCTATTATTTTACTCTCTCTAAATCAAATTTGAAATCTTTTTTTTTGGAATGAATGGCATTCTCGTGTGTGTGTGTGTGTTTGTGTCAACACTTGTTTTTGATGAAGGGGGGTTTTGTTATACCACCAATCATCATTTACGATCACAATGGATAGAAGTAAAAGCCGGAAAATTTGTGATTGATGATGTAAATCAAACAGAAAGAATGAAATGAAAAAAAATTCAATCAAATTAACGAAAAAAATGATGATGATGACTTTTGGGTTACGTCAAACAACATCATATATAATCTGTTAAATTGTTGTTGTTGTTGTTGTTGCTGCTGCTGTAGTATACAAATAACTCATCAAGCCCAAGAGATTGTTTTTAAACAAGAAAAAAAAACCTGTTGAAATCCAATTGAATCCATCGAATCAACAAGTTTGTTAAAATTGAATCAAATGAAAAGAGAAAGAAATAAAAAAAAATTCAAGTACAACAACAAACCACTTTGCCATTTTTCATCATCATCATCATCAACATAATCATAATCATTGACATGATGTTTGACCATGTCAACCATATTTAAGTTTATTTGATGATGAAGATGATGATGATGATTAACAAAAAACAATGAAATTTTCAATTTTTTTTTCGGTCAATTTGGTCATACCATTTTTGGATCGATAACTTTTTTTTTACATATTTATTGTTGTTGTCGTTGCTTTCTTCAAATTCACATGTTGATGTTCTTGAATATATTGTAAATGTAAATACTCAATTAGCTTAATTTAGTTTAAGAAGAAAAAATTTATTATTCTTTATTATACATACAAATATGTATGCGCGTAATGTATAATAATGTGTAATAGCCTTGTTTGTCATTTGTTATGATGGTTTTTCTTTCTTTTTTCTTTCATTTTTGCTTTCATACATTCATTTATATTTGCATAGATGGACACATTAAGTTTTTGTTTCAAATTAATCAATCTGAGAAATTTCATTCCAATCAATCAGTGATTCAATTAATTAAATGGATTCGATTTTCCTTTTTTTCCTATATAAATTCAGTATTTTTTTTTTGGTAAAATTAAATGATTTCTAAATTAATTGTTATTTTTTTCATTTTTTTTTTTTGCTCCATATTCTAGAATCATAATCTTCGCGGCAATCTTTTTTGTCATTCATTGCCCTTCCAGTGTTTATGTAAGTAAAATGAACTAATCATATAAACAATGATATGTGATGGACAGGGAATTTTATTTTTTGAAAAAATGAAATTTGTAATTTCATTTTTTTCATTGGCCCAATATTTTTATTTATTTTTTTTTTTGAAAAAAAATTTCATTATTGAACTGCTATAAGCTGCCTACACCTCCGCAGACATCACATCACACACCTGGAAATTAATCATGAATTTTATTTCAGATCATTTTTTTTTCATTGGAAAATTGCGAATGAATGCATGATGTGCGTGTGTAAATGATACACATTTGTCTTTACATTTCCCACCCATGCACATATAACAGAAATTTTTTTTTGTTTTGTTTTTTCCCTTTCGTTTTATTACACATATATTTTATATATAAATTCATAGTATTGGGTTTTTTTCATTAATTTTTTCTCTTGTTTTGTTTTTGTAGACCAATAACATCATCACCATTGAACAAACATCATCATCAACATCGACGAAGCCATCACCACCATTATTATCATCTACTTCTCTTTGGTCATTATTGAAAAAATCATTAATAAAGAAAAATTCTAGATCAAATACCGATTTGATGACGAATCCGGCCATAATAGATCAATATCAACATCAACAATTGAAATTATTATTATTATCACAATATAAAACGTATCAAGGCCATAATTGGCTAGCTTTGGTTAGATCTGACTACAAACATAATAATTGGCAAAATAATCGCCATCATCTTAGTAATCATGGTGGTGGTGGTGGCGGTGGTGGTGGTAATAATAATCACGATTTTGATAGAAAAAATCATCATTATCAAGTAGATGACTATGTCGATGTTGTTGATGATAATGGCCAAATAAATGTTGTCAGTAATCAACCAATAGCACAACCAAGGCCAAATAAAAGAAATCTGTTATATTATCAACTACTAGAACAAAATTTACATTCAAATTATAATTATCATAATCAAAAACAACAACAAGAATCATTGAATAATAATAATCATATAAAAAATTCAAAGTCAACACAATCATTAATCAATAATGATCATCATGTGATATTATCATTAGGTAATAGTAGTAGAAAACAACATCAACAACATTATAATGAAAATGATAATGATGATGATAAAAGTAGTCAAAATGATGATGATATTAATATTTTATCAAAAAAATTATTGATACTGCCACCTTTATCATCATCATCAGAATCAAGAATCGATATCAAGAATAATGTATCGAATTTATCATTATCCTTACCATTATCAAATGCTGATACTAGTCATTCAAGAATTAAACGTCATGTCAATCATCATTATCCTAATCATCATCATCAACAACAACAGTATCCTCCTACCATTCAACAATCAACAAGTGACATATCATCATCATCATCTTCAGAAGATTTCAAAATAATGATCGAAAATCGTACAGATATTTTTGATCATTTAGAAATGGAATCGAAAATATTTCGTCTGCATAATCGTTGTTCAAATGGAGATATATCATATAATAATCATACGAATATGAATGTTATGTCCAAATGGAATATTGATCGAGCCATATTCGATAGTAAGTTTTTATTTTTTATTCATTTGTGACGATAAAGTTTTTTTCTATGTTTTGATACGAGATTTTGCTACCTGAGTTTCATGTTTGTGTGTTGCTCGGAATCAACACTACACACACACACACACACGGAATCTAATCAACACACACACACACCTGTTATAAAGATTTGAAGTATATTTTATGTAAATATTTTTATTGATTCAAGTGTATTTTCTTAGAGAAAAAAAAGAAAGAAATTCCTGTGTGTTTAGCATTTAAGATTTTGTTTGTTTATTTACAAATCCTGTCAAGGATGAGATTCTTGTTTTGTTTTTGCTAAATTTTACTTTTTTTCTTCTGTTTTTATTTGTTTTTTGTTGTTGTTATTATTATTATTAATGTCCGCATCAATTCACACTTTAGATGAAAATTTACGTTTTATTTTTTTGTGGTCCAAACAAACATTTATTATATTTTGATGGTTTGTGTGTGTTTGGTATGTGAAATCATCATCATCCACTTCCATAAAGAGGAATAGAATCGTTTGTGTATGTGATGAAGAAAAATTATTATTATTATTATTATTAGATGTCTGTGTGTTTTGATGATGATGATGATGCTTTTTTTTCTCATTCTCTCCATTTGTCTGTGTATGTGATGAAAGGTATAAAAGGCCGACAAAAAAACAATGAAAAATAAAAAAAAAAATAAAAAATGAATTCAGATGAGAACAACAGCTATGATAGTTGAAACATATAAAACAGGATTTTTTTTTCATAAAATAAAAGCACAAATTTCTAAGACAACAACAAAAATCTGATGCAAAATTCATGTATGTGTGGGCGATTTGTGATGATGATCAACTTATAATCTTTAAGACAACAACAAAAACAATAATGAAAAATGAAGAAAAATTTGATGTTGAAAAGCTTGTTGTTGTTGTTATTGTTTTGGTTGTTTGCATGATTTTTTTTGGCGCAGCAATCACCATCACCACATACATTTTCAACGCAATTTTTTTTGGATTATTAGATTTTTATTTCTCTATGTTGTTGTTGTTGTTGTCGCGTATATACCACTTTTGATGATCTTTAATCTTGTCTTTTAAGAAAAAAAAAAGAAAATTCTAGACAACGGTTCATTAATTATGGATCAATGTGCTAGACAAGACAGATAAAAAAATTAAAAAAAAATCGTAGGTGCACAATAAAATACTAGGTGTAATTCGGGTTTTTTTCAAGTTTATTAGTTCAATTTTGTTTGTTTGTTTGTTTCTTGAGAATTTTGGTTTTGATTATTATTAATCAATTCTTTCTTTCAATCTGTAGCTCATCTAACGTTCATTCCATCTAAATATAATGGTTTCGGTATTTGGTGGCCAAGGCAACAAAAATTTTTATGCATCAATCCTAGTACTGGTCTTATAATTCCCAAGGTAAGATAATGCTTTTTTTCGAATATTTGTTAATTTCATTATCTTCAATATTTTTTTTCGCACATTTTGAAACTTGTTGAAAAAATGTTCAAAATATTTGTTAATGCCAAAAAGAATCAAATCAAATCATAATAGCTTTTCATTGATACCCCTATCCTATACCCAGGTCAAACTCGAAAAAAAGTTCACAAACTCTGTTGTTGAATGAATATAGAAATTCCTTATAATAAAATAATGATAATAATAAGCAAATTTAACGACAAGTTTGTCAAAAATTTCATTTTGCTACATCATTATTATCATCATCTTCATGTCTTGATCGTTAATTGTAAATATATTAATAGATTATTATTATACGATTCGGTTGTCTTTTTTGTTTTTCTTTTTTGTACATAGCAATTATCACGATAATCACATTTAACTATCGGGTAGTCCCAAAAAATTTGATGAAAATGTGAAAAACATGATAAATTCATATGAAATAAATTTTTATGGCCACTGAATTTTCATTTTTTACCTGTTTTCTTTTTGTTTTTGAAACATTTTTTTTGTTAAAAAATTTAGTCGATAGTGTGTGTGTGTCTTTGGTGATATAAACACGCCTTAGCTATCAAAATTAAAAATGATCATTATCCACATTTTTTTCTCCGCTGACGATTGATTGAAGCTGTCAAGATTGTTCAAATAATTGTGTTTGCCAAAACCTGTATCATTATTACGATCAATTTTTTTTGTTTCGATCCATTTGAACTTTTTCCGACAGATCAAAAAAATTGAAATTCTCTTTTTTCTCGTTCGGTAGCTGAATTTTCAACAATCATCTATTTGTTTTTTATCTTTTTTTTTGGTTCATTCATTCAACGAATGATTATCACCTACAAACTATGATAATGACATTTGATTGGCTATTGCGTGCGTGTTTATGTAGATGGCCAACACTTGAAATTAAGTTATTATAATGATCAATATTTTTCTTTTTTCTTTATTTCTTTCTGCATATTGCCAATAAATATTGATAAATGTTTAGAAATTATGGCTAAGCAATTATAATAATAATGATGATAATGATAATAATATTACCATTCAATCATCGATTCCATAATGATGATGTCCATACGATTATTATCATTTCACACACACACATACACACAAAATGATTGATATCCTCGAGCAGCTTACACGTGGTTTTTTTCCTTCAATTGTTATTGACGTTTCTTTGCTTGTTTTTCCATTTCATTTATTATTCCACAATGAAACACACACCGCACAAACAGCTATAATTTTTAATTAAAATTCCAAACAAAAACAAAACTTCAATTTTTTTTTATTGACAAGTCGTTTATATTTAGAATAGTAAAAATGGTCTTTCTTTCTTTCTTTTTTCATTGGAAGCAATTTTCTCTAAATGATCGATAATATTTTTTTATTATTATTTGATTCGGGCTACTTATTTTTTCTTTTATTTTCCAATGATTTTTATTCTCTTAATCATAATGGTGACAATTTTATCAGATTTTGAATAACAATTTGTCATCAATATCCTGGTATCGATGACAAATTGCTATTTAGTCATTTTTTTCAAGTTTTTTTATTTGTTACAATTTCTGTTCCCTCATTTCTGATGATGATTATAATCTTTATTGATTTTTCATCTTTTATTTCACTTTTTTTTCTTTGGAATTTCTCATTTTTTTAATTCTGATTTTTTTCTCTTTCTTCATTTCTTTCCCTTCCATATAGGATTGTTTTGATTGGTGTCTATGTAGCTTTAATGAAATTGTTGCCGGTGATCATCTAATGTATGCGTTAGCCGTAAAGCCTGATTGGAAATTGGCATTTAATAAAGGTGGTCAACCATTAGTAATGATGAATAAAATGCAAAAAAAATATCTCAAATGTCGCCATTTTACGAAAATCGAGATTGATGATAATGATTTTGGTAATGATCATGGCCATCATCATCATCATCACCATCATAATAATCAACATCATTATCATCATCATCAACAACAAATATTTGATGGAAAAACCGGTCATAACAAGTTAAAACATGCTGAAGATGGTATCTGCGATGATTGGCAAAAATTGGGTGAACAGATATTTGATCAAGAAATTTATCGTGATCCACGATTAAATTGTATACTTACTCATCATCCACAATTTAGCCGTTTAGATTCGAAAAAATTACAACGACAATTGAAACGTAGAAAATTGAATATTAATCAAACTGATCATAATGACAATAATAATAATGCTACCGAATTGGTCATATCAAAATCGAATCGTTGTTTCAATGTATCAACCATATTATTCAATAATTATAATAATAATGATAATTCATATCAATCAAATCGTCGACAACAACGTAATGTATCCAATGGCGGTTCAACGATAACATCGAAAAAGATTCGTCGTTTACCAAAGAAGGTCAGACATTTGTGTGGGTGAATAAGTGGTACATTCGATTGAAAACAAATCATCATATTGATGCACAAATATATGGAAAAAAAGGATGTGACGACATTTGTACCGAATGAATGACATGTGACATGGAATTCGAAATATTTTTCTACCTTCACGAACAACAACAACAAAATTTGACACATCTATTTTCTTCTAAGAAACCAATTTTCTTTCCTGAAAAAACGTCTTATTTTGAATTCCAAGTAAGACAAGATTAAAAAACACCGCCCACCTGTATTCGTTATGGATCAAAAAAGTAAAAAACAAAACAAAAAAGAAGAAAGCCTTTCTACCATACTACCTCATTATGAAACCAAAAATTAAAAAAAAAATATTTCATCATAAAGAAAAACAACAACGTAATAATAATTCACACATTTATCCATCCATCTTTGTAAATTGAATGAAAAAAAAAATTGGATAAAAGCATGTCAACTGTCTCAATTTGTTATAAATGTATTTGTAAAATGTATTATTTTTTTCTAATCATCATCATCATCATCATAATCATCATTTTTTTAAATATATCACATCGATTTTTATATACGGCAAAGCAGAGAATCAAAACAAAAAACAAAATGATTATCGTTTTTTTTAATGATTGTATAATTCATATTCAAAGTGATTTTTTTCTCTTATTTTATTGATCGTTAATTTCAAATTTTTGAAAAAAAAACAAACTACCAACAAGAAGAAATAACAACATTTCAATTTTAATTTATTTTATTATTCGTTGCACATGTATTCACTCATTCATTCATTCACTCACTCTACATATATACATCAATTTCATAATATTCGGCACTGATCGATTCATTGATTCATCATTGATCATTCCTATCCAATATTCACCAACATCATCATTATTGGAAAAGAATATTATTCTATCTATTCTCATATATATTTTTTTTCTACTTTTTTTTACAATCGATTATATATTATTATTTGATAATAATTTCATTAATAAAATATTCATTATCGATCGATTGAATTTATTATTTCATCACACCTGTTGATTTTTGGAATTAAATCTCTCTCAACAAACTTGTACACACACACAGACGCTAGTGTGTGTTAATATATCCGTATTTGATATTTTTTATATCACAAAATTGCCCTCTAGTGGATTGAAATTGAATTTTTTTCATGTCGGGAATGGAATTCATTTATTATGAGTCAAAATTTTTGACCTTTGAAATATTATAATAAGAAGAAAATATTCATTCAATTATTTTTTCTGTATAAAATCACGTGATATGATAAGCTGCATAATTTCATTGGTGCCTTCCAATATACGATGTACACGTGAATCACGTAATAATTGTTGTAATGGAAAATCTTTTAGATAACCATAACCACCGAATAATTGTAAACATTGATCAATGATCATGAATGCTTTTTCCGTTGCTATTAGTTTTCCGGCCGCAACTAATGATGGTAATGGCACAGTTTTGACATTCATTTCAGTATCATTGGTTTCTGCATCAAATCTTCTTGCAGCCGATCGTATAAATAGCCGTGAAGCAACTAATTCGGAAGCAAGTAAAGCCAATTTGAATTGTGTATTCTGAAACGAAGCTATTGTACGATTAAATTGTTTACGATCCGATGTATATGCTATCGTTTCTTCTAATGCCCATTGTGCTGCACCCAATGAACACGCCGATATATTGAGTCGACCACCATTTAGGCCATCCATTGCCATTTTAAAACCTTGACCTTCTTCACCTACTAAATTCTCCACTGGTACTTTACAATCTTCCATGATGACCGCTCGTGTAGGTTGAGTATTCCAGCCAAGTTTTTTTTCTTTTTTACCAAAACTAAGACCTTCGGTGCCTTTTTCAATTAACAGGCATGAAATTCCTTTTGGACCAGAAGGACCTGTGCGACACATGACTACATATACATCACTATCACCACCACCACTTATGAATGCTTTACTGCCGTTTACTATAGAAAAAATCAATATTTTATTCATCAAATAAACGATAATGGTAACAATGTTCAATCGATCTCACCGATGTAATATCCATCTTTGCGTACAGCACTCGTGCTCAGATTACCCGCATCGGATCCAGCACCTGGTTCAGTTAAACAATATGATGCCATTTTTTCAAAGCTAATTAAATCGGGTAAATATTTTTTCTTCAATTCTTTATTAGCATAACTACTGATTAGATTGGAAGCCATATTATGTATGGTCAACAATGCCGTTGTAGAAACACAACCTTGTGCTAAAGCTTCAACAACAATCGATGTTTCCAGTCGACTAAGACCAGTACCACCATCTTCGATAGGTATATACAAACCACCAAATCCTAGTTCGGCACATTTTTTCATTTGATCACGTGGAAAATATTCTTTTTCATCCCATTCTTGCATGTATGGTCGAAATTCATTTACACTGAAATTGTAGGCCATTTCCTGCAATTGTATTTGATCGGTTGTTAATTCAAACGATGGATCGATAATCGTATTGATCGATGTGGATTGAAATCTTCTAGATTTATGTTTACATCGAAAATTAATGGATAAATTTCGAAGAAAATTATTTCTACATAAAACACTAGCCATAATATTTGATGAATGATTTGAAAGAAATTAATTCACAAACGGTCAGAACTGAATTCATTGAATGTTTGAAGAAACGATGATGAAGGACGACCAGCAAATGAGCCGCAAATCTTGAATGAAAAATTGTAGTGTGTTTTCTCTTTTATTCTTATACTCATCGATGAATGTTGCCAGATAAAATTTCATGAACAGACGTGTTTTTTTTCATTTTCGATTCATAAATGTACATTTTTCACCAGAAAAATTATCATTCGATTATATTTGTCATGTCAAATTTCAAAAGCTATTCACACATAAGAATTTGGATATTAAAAAAATTTATTATCATCAAAATGACCCCATGTGTGAATTAAAAGCTAATCCGAAAAAATGTACAAAGATAATTAACGGAACGTTTTTTCATGTTAGGATTTTCAGATCATTATAACAAATTCCAAAGTTTAGTACAATAAATATCGAAAGATATTTAGTTGCTAATTCAAATAACAGCAAAAAAAAAGTTCGATGATTGATGTTCTAATTAAAAATGGAGCTTTTGCAACAAAAATTATCAATGGAAAATTAATCCAAATATCAATTAAATCATTTTATCCACGAATAAATGGATTGATTATCAACAAGGGGTGTAAGCATTTATAATGCGATTACTGATATCTTCATAAACAATGTTCAGATAAAAAAGCGCGTATTGATTTGCGCAGACGTTAACCAATCTGACTCGGAGTTCAATGATTAACTTTGAAAACAGAATTTTTAATTTTTTTGTCTAAAGTTTTTTGCTAAAATTATTTTTTTTTCAAAAGAAAATACGATGAATTCGAATATTCCAACGTTTAGTTCAAAGAAACAATCATCCAGCTCACGGATACCGAATATATCGTCAATACCAAGACCATCGAGGATTCCGACAACAACAAAAAAACCATCGAATCAAAATGTCATGTATAGCGGCATCAAACGGCCACGACCAAACGATCCACCCATTTCACATATTCCAACATCCTTAACTAAATTTAAACGTTCAGCACCATTATCGTTGATGAAATCGAAAATAAGTCATCATGATATGATAGAGGATTCGAATGTCTCTGATCTTAAATTAGATTTTTCAGGTACATTTCGTTCACCAATATCGATGATCAGTCGCAATTCATCGGCAATGTCTATTGATTCAAAATTACTAAATGTTCCGAATACAAATGCAAACAGCTCAAAAATATCAAGTAATAGTTCATTAATCGAAGAACCAACGATTATTACACGAAACGTTGAATCGAAAGCAACCAGTCCTATGGTAGATTGGAAAACAATCACCAAAGATACTGAATTAATCTCATACAAAGTTCGTATCAATGTTCTAAAGAATGAAGCTGATGAATTAGAACGTAAAAATTCCAAGTTACGAATCGATAATGAAGTGAATGCAACTCGATATCAAAATGAAATCGAAGAATACAAGAGTCGAACAAAAGACTTGCAGAACGAAATTCGAACATTGAAAGAGAATGAAAAAAAATTGAAATATGAATTTGATGAATTTCAAAAACTTCATCTTGAACAATCCAAATTGATCGATAAACAAAATATTGAACATGAAAAAGTGATTGCCAAATTAAAAGAAGAGTTGTTTAAAGCCAAATCCGATGCAGAAACACAACGATGTCAATTATCAATGGATACATTGAATTTCGAACATCGTATCAGCCTTCTTCAATCCGAAAATGATCAACTGAGACAGGAAAATGAATTACATCGTTCGAATTCATTAGATTTTGATTTAAAAAACAAAGAAATTGATACATTAAAAACTGAATTGAATAAAGCAAATTCAACAATCGAACAATTGCGAACAGAATTGAAATCTTTTGAAGAAGGCAAAAAATTAGAATCAATTCTGCAAGGTGAATTAAGCCAATTACGTTGTGTAAAAGATGAGAATGTTCAACTTAAAAATAAACTTGATCTCTTATCACGTGTACACGAAGAGAATGTGATGCTGAATGAAAAATTATTCGGGCATGAAACGAAGATCGAAATATTACGACAACAATTGAATCAGAAAAATATCGACATACATTCTTTTCAATCGAATAAGGCCAAATTATTGAAATGGACAGAGATCGTTGGAATTGATTCGCCCGAAATTGTTGTTGATAAAATAAAGACGCTCACTGAAAATGTAACAATATTGAATGTTGAAAATGATCTACTAAAATCTAATGTCAAAACATTAGAGGAAAAAATATCGAACGAAAATTTTCATTCCAAATCTAATGAATCAAATTTAAAGAATGCTGAAGCTAAGATTGTCCAGATTGAACAGATTTTAGAACATAGCAACAAAAAGTGTCTGTTCCTATCCAAAGAGGTTGATTATTACAAAAAAATGAGAGCACAAGATTCTTCTATCAATAAAAATGCCGATATAAATAATGGCCAAAAAATCAATGAATTAGAATCGATTATCGAACAATATAAAACGGCGGCCAACAAATTTGAATCAGAATTAAATGAAGCAAGAAACGAATTAGAAACAAAACGATCGATGGGTAAAGAGAATGAAGAATTAAAAAATGAAATTCGAAGAATCAAAGAATTGAATCCACATATTTGTACGAATGTATCAATGTTAGATTGTTCAACATTACAAACGAATGAGAAACAATATCGTGTGTTACATTTGATAGAAAATCCCGTGTCATGGGAAATGAAAAAACGTATCGAAGAATTGGGAAAATTAAGAGAAGAAAATGAACGTTTAAAATGTCTTGTAGAAATTATGGAACGTGGAGAACTAAATAATGCCGATATTACTAGACAGATTGATGAAGGATTACAATATCGTTTTAAAGTGAAAAAACTGGAAGAAAAACTAGCAGAATATGAACAAAAAACAATCATATTGAATGATAAATTTAAGGAAAAATGTTATCGTTTTCGTCAATGTTGCATGGAAGTTACTGGATATCAAGTCGATGATTTGTATCGAAATAAATATCGTGTACGGCATAAATATGCACTTAAAAATGCATTCTCAATTGAATTCGATGGCAAAACGATTCGATTAATCGAAGATGAAACAACAGCAAAATTTAACGATAAAATTGAATTGTATATCAACGAACACAAAAGTTTGCCAGCATTTTTTGCAAGCTATACACTGGAATTATTGAAAGAACAGACAATGTTTTAATCATCATCATAATTATTATTTTTCATTAATTATTAATTTTTTTTTGATTTGAAAAAAATAATGATTCATATTTTTCATTCAACGTTGGTCTTTTTCATAAGACTTGACAATAAATGATATGTTGCAAAGTATTGTTTCTTTTGTGATTTTTTTGCCTGTATAATGTATTCATTCAAAGAATTCCTGTGAATACGAAAAAAGCGAATTAATTGAAGAATTTTTTTTTTATATCCACTACTTACCTAATGATTGATAACCGTTCTTCATCATTTCGATTTTCAGCCATAAACCATTGACTATAACGACTGATTGACCAATCCTTGAATTTATGTGGCGATTTCAATTCATCCGTTGTATGATTTGCAATGAAAAAATATATGACCAAATAATAGGGAATTGGATCACCAACAATGGGTGCGTCACATAGTTCTTCCGGTGATAATAATAACAATGTTTTGAATGCTTTTAATATTTGAAATGATCGACCAACATCACCAAGGCGATCGCAGATTGGAATGATTGCCTCTTCTAATTGGGTAAAATCATTGAAAATTTTTTGTCTACCCATTGCCGATACCGGACGTATTAGACAATTTTGTAATAAAAAGAAATCAATGACAAATGCGGCCATTTGATGAATTCTTCAACGAGAAACAAAAAACAATAAATTATAAATAATTTTTGTTGTAATAATTTATTTATTACCTTTCTTTGATAATTTCTGCATCATTTGGATATTGTTGAAAATAATCTCTTGATATGCGAGCAATGAATCGTTGCAGTTCTTTCATGTAAAGTGAACAATTACTAGGCATAATTTTGCTTCGAATGATAAAATAAATTATTATTAGAAAAATCATTTTCAAAATAATAACATACCTGTTAATATCATATTTTTCATTATGAATGGTAAGAATTATATCCTCGATTGCATCCTGTATCGATTTGATGAATGGTTCAAATGTATTCAATATTAAATTATCAATTGATTTCAATGATGATGATGTTTCTATTAAATGTTTCTTAAGAATCGATTGATTTTTATCATTATTTATGATTAGATTCTTTAATTGTTTATGAAAATAATTTAACGAATATATAATCAATGAATTATGTCGTTGATTTATTGTGAATTTGCCGATCACTTGTGTAGCATCACCATCATTCGATACTAATTGTTCACATTTAAATACAAACAAATTGATTGTTTTGACAATATTTCGACATACGGATTCTAATAACATGGAATCAAAATTTGATGCTACAATTTCATTCGAAATATCTTTAATTACCAAATCGACATCTTTTTCCGATGGTATTGAATCAATTTTCTGATTTTTAATCACACCAACATTGGTGAATATTCGATTCACCGATTCGAATAATGATGATAATGAATTCGAGAGGTAAGCATTTTCAAATTGTCCAATAGTCGAACGTAATGTTATTTCATTCTCAATCTCTGGTTCATCGACGATGATTCGTTCAGAATAATCAAGAAAAAATGACAATATTTTTGAATAATCGGATTCAATTAATCTTTTAATCGCTGGTGACCAATGAAATAATTTATTAAATGAGGCGGAAAAAATTCGAATAATTTCATTCCAAAATTTTCGAATCAATTCATCACGATTATCGATAAATTCAATCAATAATGTTTGTGTTTGATTATCACGACGTTTTTTCAATATCTTAATCATTGTTGAAATCTGATGAAAATGAATGTAAAGATTTTCAAGATTACATTTACAATTACTACGTATACTTGTTTTCATTAGATTATTCTGTCTTGTTGATGATGGTATCGTCAATTTCATTTCATTCATATTCATATCATCGAATAATTTCGATAAAGATTGTTCAATTAATCGGCATTTTTCAACGATCAAATCATTGACAATCGAATCAAGTGAACGTAGATTGTGATATATTTGCAAAGCAGCACCGATATTATTATTGTCCAATGATTCCAAACCATTACGAAGTAATGAATCTGCTTCGATAATTATTTTCGATTTAATTTGCTGAAATTTTTCCAAATCTTTAGAAATACAATTTAATTTATGGAGTAAATTTTCCTCGTCCGATTGAATAATGCCATCAATTTCATTGACATATTGTGATAATTTAATGATTTCTTTCAAAAAAATGCCCGATTCATTTTTTGTCATATCATTATTCATATTTGATTCATCAATTCGTTCCATTAGATACATGATACGTAACATTTTTCGTAGCAGATCACAAGTTTTCTGCAGCCGTGATAATAGAATAATCTCATGGTTAAGCTGTTGATATGGTGATTCGAATTTCATAATCATCAATTCCATTGTTTTCATTAGATTCTGTGATTTAATACCGATGAATCTCAAATCATTATATAATTCATCAAGTTTAGATGCACGTCGAAAAAATGTTTCACAATTTTTCGTTGTTAATTGATTGATATTATTTTTCAACTGTTCAATACCGGCAGCGATTTTTGAAATCTGTTCTGAAAACGGTAGATTATTCACCGATGCAATAGCATTCTGTTGATCAAAATTTTCGGGCAAAAATTCCGAATAAATCGGATCCATAGATTGTTTTTTGTTGTTGTTTGTCAACATTATACAAATTGTTCACAATTGTTAATTAATTAATGATGAAGAAAAAAAAATTAAGTTTATTCAGAGAAAAGTTGTGAAAACGGAAAAAAAATTTGTTACACAAATGTTTATGAGATGAACACACAAAACAAAACTTGTGTACATTAAAAAAAAAATTTCGAATTAATTTGCATTTCGAACTGGAGGTGAAATCAGTATGACACTATCACCACGTACAAACAACATTGGAATATTACGTTTATTTGTATTGATAAATTCTTCAAATGTCTCTTCATTCACTTCGATTGTTTTGTTCACCTCTTCAACATCACTTAATACCATATTCAAATGTTGATCATAGGCATGTAGCCGGCCACGAAGTTCACGTTCATTACGTAATTTAACATAGATTCGTTCATCAAGACTTAAACGAATTAGATCGAGTGATTCTTCAACGGTAATCGGTGCTGTCTAAATTTTTTTTAATGCAAAAAATAATAATGATAAATGAGCCATAGACATGAGTTTTTTTCAATGCGATCAAAAAGACGATGATGTATTCATCGATGACATCATGAAAATAATTAATAGTCACATCATCAAATCAATTATGAATTTCCAAGTTAAAAAATAATAACTTACCTGATTTACTTCGTCACCCATGATGATTGTCAATGATTATAAATTGATAATGAGCTATGAATCAATTTATTTGCTGGATAAAAAGACCAGAACAAAAAATCGGTATTGGCAATATAATTCAATACGATTTTGTTTTTGAATAGCAACCGAAAAAAATTCCAAGCATGTGTAAAGAAAGTATGTTGGGGAGGAGGAGTATCCAACTCTCCAATCAGACGTTCGATGGAACGACTACACAGAAAAGAAAGTGCGCGAGTACTCGCGATTTTGGCGAGTATTTCGGCTATTTTTTGGTGACTATTTGAGTGTATATAGCCAAACAATCGAAATTTTGCGAGTACTCGCATTTTTCGCGAGTACTCCGACTATATCCACACAAAAAGTCGCTAAAAAATAGCCGAATACTCGCGAAAAATGCGAGTACTCACAAAGTTTCGATTGTTCGGCTACATACACTCAAATAGTCCAGCAAAATAAAGTGTAAATAGCCGAAATACTCGCAAAAATCGCGAGTACTCGCGGTAATCGTGTGTAAACAAAAGTTTTCGATTGTTTAATTTGATTTCGATGTTTAACATTTTAATTTTTGTTTGGATACGGAATTATTTCGAATCATAAACTAATGGATTAGAATTATGTCGATAAAAATGGTAATTTGGTACAAAACGATCCAACTATTCCAATTCAAAAAGGTCTTCAATGTGATGGAAAAAAGATTTCACATTTCATTTTTCTGTAAGTTGAATATGATATTTTCGTGCAGACATTTATGTTAATAATAATGTTGAATTTTATTTTATTTTAGTATTACGAAGGAAATCTTATAAATTCAAATGGCACATTTGTGCCGGATAATTATGAATTCCCGGTATTTGATGATGACTTAAACGTATTTTTGCTGAATCCGAATTCGATTGCCAGCTTTAAGATATTGAATTCAATTATTCTTTCGATTATCAGATCAATCGTTAAACATATTTGCGGAACAAGTAACGACTGCTTGTATATGACAAGCATTCCTAAAAATACGATGCTCATCATTTTAAATAAAATAGACGCCAATTACCCAATTTTACCCAAAAAATATAATGAACTAAATTGTGATGCAAAAAAATGGAATTTGTATTTCATGTATTTTTTCAGAAATTTGTATGGTACACTTATAAAAATATCAAACGGTCTAATGACCAAAAAAAGAAAGACAAATGAAAAAGAATCCTTTATAAATTAAATTGTATTTTTATAAGTCAATTATAAATAAAATGGTTACATTGTTTGAGCTTAATCGTTCATGACTATCATGATTAAGATAGAACAAGAAAAAGCGATGAGTGTCATACGATATTTTGTCCGAGGTCGACTATAAATTTATTTAATTCTAAGGAAGGACAAAGTGATAACTCTTGGTCATCTGTTGATCAATTCTGTTGTTTTTGCTTTTTGTTTTTAAAACACTCAGAATTCAAAATAAAGAAAATGACAAATTTCCAAACTAACACGACCTGTTCAGAATCGAGAAAATGACAAATTTCCAAACTAACACGACCAGTTCAGAATCGAGAAAATGGCGAATCCAATCTAACACGACCAGTTCAGAATTCAAAATTCAAAATCGAGAAAATAGCAAGTCCAACCTAACACGACCAGTTCAGAATCGAGAAAATGACAAGTCCAACCTAACACGACCAGTTCAGAATTGGTTGGCGATGCTTTATTGATTACTTTCCCAATGATTGTAGTGGTTTCGATTTGCTCATCGCTGTCCACAGTGATATTATGGTCCCACACCACGGCATTTCTTTTGTCACTTCATCTTGTTCGTTTATTACTGCTGCTGGTGATTTGTCATTTTCACAATTCTAAACTGGTCGTGTTAGTTTGGACATTTGCCATTTTCTCGATTTTGAATTTTGAATTCTGAACTGGTCGTGTTAGTTTGGGAATTTGTCATTTTCTTGATTTTGAATTCTGAACTGTTCGTGTTAGGTTGGATTTGTCATTTTCTCGATTGTCACTGGATAGATTTCAACATCACACATATAATTCAACTTTGATTCAATTTTGTTGGTCATTATTTCGGTCTCATAAAAACCAAACATTTTTCAGAATCGATATATTTGTTTTCACTGGGTACAATCTCATTCTCATTCATTTCATTATATCTTTTGAAAAATATCATGATCATGATTTATAATATAAGATGGATAATGAGTGAAGATGGCAAAGTTACTAAAAAATTTTTCCATCTGTATATGGTCGTAAAATAATTGTTTTTGATCTACATTTTGTGTTCACTCAATTTTTATCGGGACATGTAAAATTCAATGTTTACCTGCATTGGCTAAATTGGCTATCGTTATAAGACGTCTTAATTTTGTGGTAATACTGCTCAAAGTTCTATTCATCTGATTTGTTTATTTGTGCGGAACGAACTTTAATTGAAAATCAATGTGATGTAAATCTACAAGATCGACATGAAGAGAATTTATGTATTTGGCTATAATTCTTTAAATATGATTTTAAAAATTTATAATTTATTTTCTTCCCCCCATTTTTGAGGTATAGGGGTTTTTATTGAATAAATAAATAAATAGCTCGACTTTGAATGAAATAACTGTCCATCAATCAATTAATCCTGACAAATTGACACCAATTTATCAAACAGTGGCGAAAATTCTTTTGCTCAAATCACTAATCATCAACATGTGATAAAGAACAATTTTTACGTTCCATTGAAATTACATAATTTTTTTCATCAATTATGCATCTGATATGATAATATCTATCATATCATGAGTGGATTTTTTATTCATTTTCATGCTAAGTCTACAGCAAAATAATGCATTCATTTTGCCGCCAAAAATTTCAACTCAAAGTACAACTAATGGGCAACTGCGCATAGTCAAATAGTGGTAGTGCAGCTAACTATTTTCAATGCAAATGCTGCGCGCTTCTTTTCCCTTCTATTCCCCATACAAATTTGAATTTGATCGTTGGAAAAATCGAACATTCGAATTCAACGGTCGTCGAAGACGGTTGTCCTCACTTTGAGCTATTTTTCGTGATCATGTCGTGATATTTTTTTCTATTTTAATCGTGGATTTTTGCAGTAAATTTTGGAACAAAGAAATTAATCGATTCAAGATTATCTTTGTTAAAACTTATTGTGGTCTAAGATCAAAAATTGGCCCCGAAATCGATGAAGATCGTTTGGTTCGGTCATCATGTAATCATGATTCAAGTTGGCGAACAAATCCCATTTTCGGTGACTTTCAAATGTATTTATGACATTTTGTTTTTCATCAAATTGTATTCAATCACATCCTTTTCAAGTTTTCTTTTTTCAGAGTCCATTATTATAATTGATGTATGATAATTGGAATTCGGATTAATATATGAAAACATGGTCAATGAGGTAATTTACATTTTGCCTTTGATTGAAAATGCTAACAATTTTCCTTGTCTTTTGAAGCATAAAATTTTCATTGATGATCAATGATCATTAGACATATAATTGGTGCCGTCTTTAGAAAAACGATCATGGTAATGATGCCGAGCATTACAAATTTATTGGTGGATATCTGGTCACTAACATGGTACGATGTCCAACGAAACATTATGTTCGTCGTCAGGTAACTTTGGAATTTCGTTATCAATCAATAATTCTAACACTTACATTTCTCAAAAGTCTATTCAGAACATGCCTGCATTGAATTGTCGGAACAACTTATTCGGTAAGTCGACATATTCATTCTTCATATCTAAAGATTGATAAAGATTGGTCTATCTTTTTTTATTAGGTTCGTTCCTGAAATTTTACAATCATCAAATTGAAATTCGATTGATGATTATGTTCGAGATCAATTCGGCGGTTCCATTGTTCATCAGCATTCAATTCAAGAATAGTTTGGCCATGTTCAACACATGATAACAGGTTAGGCTAGGGTTAGATTAGGCTTAGGAACATGATCTGAGCTATTTCCTATTGAATTTGATGCTGATTGAATCTTTGGAATCAATGAAGCGATCGAAAACATGATTATAAGTCGAAGATTCATGGAATGGAACACATACTTGAAAATGATCATGGTAAGCAAATGAATAGATTAATTGAACAAACAATTAATATTTATTTTTACTTAGGATCGCCGGCGAACAATTGGGAAATTGAATCTCGAACCACGGATAGAATTTGGACATTGTCTTGGAACATGGACCGCGATTATGGATTTATTTATGTCAAACGGGACAATTAACGTTTTATGGCGCAATTTGGATGTGAAATATGCATGTATTTTATTATTTAAAATTTTTAATAAATTAATATTTCAATAAAATCAATTAAATTTCAATATATATCGATTAAATTAATATGAGGGGTAAAGGGAATGAAAGGGGGGTCAAAATTGCTGCAACAATCGGTGAGCGACACCATCGATAATTTCGATATATCGAAAAAACAATCGGTCAGTCGGGTGGTCACGAAAATCGCGAGTACTCGCGAAAATTGCGAGTAGACTATCGATATATCGATAGTCAGTCGGCTAGTCGTATGTCGTTTGCGAGTACTCGCGATTTTGGCGAGATTTCTGAACCACCCAAAATCGCGAGTACTCGCTGGCCACCACTTTTTTTTCTGTGTAAACGATTTGACTATCGATAGTGATCGTCAAAATTTATTTGTACTTTCCATAATCGGCTAACACTTATCACCGTTGGAGGGTAAAAAAAAAATCATCAACTTAGAGGATAATAATCAGAATTTTAATCATACAAAACATTAATGTATTAAATGATGAATCAATCTAATAATAATTATAGATCATTCTAAATAGTAGAATTATATTGCACACAATTACTGACAAAATAATCATTTGTCGAGTAGTGCATGCATATAACTTCGAGATATACGATTCTTTCCTAATGGCACGTAAACCAGATTATGACGTTTCTGGTACGGTTCATATGGATCATCTACAAAGTAGGTTGGTTTCTTGTAACGAGCCGATACCATCTGTTCGAGAACTTTATTCTGTTCGTCCGTACAGAACACGTGTTGTTTGGCCCACCAACGAAGATAGTAAGGTTTTCGCCAAAGATGTTTGTGACGACCAGCACGTGGTCGTATCCAAGCGCCCCAATTCAGTCGATAGAAACGACGCAACACAGCTTTATTCGAACGGAACTTGCCCTGACTATGTGTGAAATAGATGACATTTCTTTGTTGCTGCCAATTGAACGGATTACGAGTGAGCAACGACGCGGCCAAGTTTGTACAAAGTTGAAGTGAACCTATATATTTGATTGAATGAAATTCAAATTTTAAAAAAGGATCATGGCCAGTTATCATGAACTTTTACCTGATAATCTCTTTATCAACGATGATGATGCCATTTATCGATGATGATAGGGGTCGATGGTAGCAATCGATCATGTGATCAATGCATGTGATCACTATTTAAACAATGACTTCAATACAATGTGGAAATGGCGTAAAAGAATGTATATGATGCACATAAGATGCGCTTTAACTTCGTGATATTCTTTTGGTTTGTGGTGATGGTGGTTGTCAGACGATTGAAAGTCATTTAAACATTTGCTACCATCGTTGTTTTATTTTGTGATTATCATCTTTTTTCTCTATCGACCATGTCATGTTTTAGTTGCGTTGAGAGTGCACCACCCGTTGCTATATTTGCATTGTCCAAGGCGTATCGTGAAGATCCACATCCGAAAAAAGTGGATCTTGGAATTGGAGGTAAGTATTTTCTTGCTCTCTGTCCTTTGTCAATTATGTCCTTTGTCCATCATTAGCCGTAGTTTTAACATGGTCCATTATTGTCAAATAGGTGTATATTGACACATGTTCAATTAACGGAACTTTCTTTTTGCTTAGCGTATCGAACAAACGAAGCAAAACCATGGGTATTACCTGTTGTTCGTAAAGCAGAGGAAGCCATTTCTAAGGACGAAACCTTGAATCATGAATACTTGGGTCAATTGGGTATGGAGTCGTTTACTCAACTAGCAACGCGTATGTTGTTGGGTGAGGACAGTCCAGCGGTACAGGAACAACGGGCTTTTGGTGTGCAATCGCTTTCTGGAACGGGTGCATTAAGAATTGGATCGGAGTTCCTGCGAAAATGTGTTGGTTTCAAAACAGTTTACGTTTCGAAACCATCGTGGCGTATGTAACATTCTTAGTGTGTGTTGTCATTGTTCTAAATAACTTAGTTTGTTTACGCTCAGCGAATCATCATTTGGTGCTCAAAAATGCTGGTTTTACGGATGTTCGTACGTTTCGTTACTGGGATGGCAAGAATCGTTGTCTTGATTTTGATGGCATGTTAGAGGATCTGGCCCAAGCACCTAAAGATTCTGTGATTATATTGCATGTCTGTGCTCATAATCCTACTGGTGTCGATCCAACTATCGAACAATGGGAGAAGATAGCCAATGTGATTGAAAAGAAACATTTGTTTCCATTTTTCGATTGTGCCTATCAAGGTTTTGCATCTGGAGATCTAGTCAAGGATAGCTATTCGGTCCGTTACTTTGTATCACGTGGATTCGAATTTCTTTGCGCTCAATCGTTTGCCAAGAATTTTGGCCTTTACTGTCAACGTATCGGCAATCTGACATTTGTCGCAAAAAACGCCGACGTTTTAACCAACGTTAAGGCCCAGATGGCTCTAATTGTTCGTGGAAATTACTCAAATCCTCCGGCTCATGGTGCTCGAATTGTGTCACACGTATTGAGCGATAGTCAACTAAACCAGGAATGGCATGATTGTATCAAACTAATGTCCGGTCGAATCATCCAGATGCGTAAGGCTTTACGTGATAAACTTGAAGAACTAAAAACACCAGGCGATTGGTCACACATTACATCACAGATTGGTATGTTCTCATACACTGGCCTAACTCCCAACCACGTTCGACATCTTGTTGATGATTATCATATTTACCTTCCCAATGATGGACGTATCAGTATCTGTGGTCTCAATACGAATAACGTTGAATACGTAGCACAAGCTTTTAACGATGTAGTATCAAAATATCCAGACAATGAATGATTGAATGGATGATTAATTGATGATCCATCGATCATAGTAGTAGGTAATACTGGTGTATGCTTTCGAATAGCTTATTTGAATCTTAATCAATCAACGTTTGATCCAAATAATACAATAAAAATAAATTTTTCTTTAATCCATAATTGTGAAAATTGTAACAATCAAGCGGTTTTATCAATCATCATAATAATTACATCTTCGCAACATTTTTCAATTTTTTCAAATTGAATTCTACTAATTGTAATTAGCGGCCAACTGATGATATATGTGACGAGCGACATCTATCGACTGCATCATTCAATGGCAATCATTTTGGTTTGCTCACACATCATCATCTCAATTGTTTGATGTGTGTTTCATTTCGAAGACATCCTCATCAAATCAATTGAGATTGGTCCATCATCCATATTGCCTTATCATTGATACTAGTTTCGTTCTGTTCATCGTAATTACTAATTTTTTTTTTATAATTTCGGGAATTGGTGGGTTCCATCCGTTTGTTTGTCGCAAGATTCATCATCGAATCATTAGTGGAACAATTTTTGAACTGTATCGTGGACAAATCAATCAAGCATCATGAATGTCATGTGGAAAGTTCGTGACCTTTACGACAAAGCGTAAGTTCAAACTTCAATGATATATGATGATGACAAAATAATCTACAATTGTTTGTTTTACATTTTTCGAACAGGACAAACATCATCATGAACTACACTGAAGTCGAGGTAAGTCGAATATTCACTTTCCACCACCCCTGCATACTACAACTGTCGATCGCTAGGCCAAAGTTCGTGAGGCAACTAACGATGAAGCATGGGGTCCAACCGGTCGTCAGATGCAAGAGATAGCTCAGCATACGTTCACCTATGAATATTATCCGGAAGTGATGAATATGCTTTGGAAACGGATGCTACAGGACAACATGTATAATTGGCGACGAACCTATAAATCATTACAATTGCTTAATTATTTGGTTATCAATGGCTCTGAACGTGTTGTTACATCGGCTCGCGAACACATCTATGATCTTCGTCGTCTTGAAAACTACACCTTTATTGATGATTTTGGCAAAGATCAAGGTATTAACGTTCGACAACGAGCCAAATTGCTCATTGAATTGATTCAGGATGATGAGAAAGTTCGCCAGGAACGAAAAAAAGCTAAACAATACAAGGATAAATTTGTGGGCGTATCAAACCAATCTTCCTATTCGGACAGGTATGTTCGTTTTGGGCAATTAATTTTTGCTCCTGATTATTTAGCATCGTTACAGGGATCGTGATTCTTGGTCCGATTATTCACCAAGAAAAAGTGATAAACCCTATGATGGAGCATTCAAAGACGAAATCGAACAGCAACCAAAACGGTATGACGATATCCAAGACAATAATGAATATAGCCAACCATCATCGTCGCCATCAAAAGCAAAAGCAGCTTCTACAGCCGAGAATAACAGTGGCAGCAATCAACAGCAGCAACCAGCCAAACAACGGACTACTCGAAACGTCAAAAAAATCGATCTTGGAGCTGCAGCTCTTTATGCCCAGGAACACGCCAACAGCAAACCAGCTGAATCTAATGCGAATGATTCTGATCTATTATCGGTTGTTCCAACAAGCAATAGCCAAACGAAGACTGCCGATCTTCTGGGTGACCTATTTGGTGGCCTTACTGTCACTTCGACTTTGTCTGAATCAGCAACAGGCGAAGAATTTGCCGATTTCTCACAGTTTGTTGGGCCCACAATTCCTAGAAGCGAACCAACTCCCATTGTCAATAAGCTAGCAATAAACAACAACAGCAGTACTGAAGATTTTGCCGATTTCCAAAGTGCATTCGATTCGATCACATCGAAAGCTGTGCAACCTATTCTCAGTTCGAATGTGGTCGATTTGATGACCGAAACAAGTTCCAATAAACCTAGTGACTCAGCCGCCTTTGCAGCTATGAATCCGTTTCTAGCTAATACATTGACGGAACCAACGAAGCCTTTGTTTGATACAATGTCATTGTTGACGCCCGTTGCGGCCAACAATCATTTACAATCCACTGCACAACAGACAGCTATCAAATCAGAAGATACTTCATCATGCTCATCGTCTTCACATAAAATCGGTTCGTTATCCACATGTCTTTTTATTATTAGTATTATTATTATATGATTATATGACTGGGATGATATTTTCAGGTGAAACGTGGAGTGGGCTCAATACCAACATAAACTTTGACAACATACTTGATCTAAAGAACTCTAAGCCAGCCGTTCTTACCATCAATCAGTTAGCACAGGCAAACAATCAACATATGGCAAAGGTTACGGCTGCCAATGCTCAAACACCTCCTGGACAATTTGGTTTTGGTCTCAACAATTCTCTTAGTAAGAAATCAGGCCATTCATAATCTTTATTGACTATTTGTTTTGGTTTTACACAGGTCCTGTAAGCAGTTCATCAACACCAATGTCACCCGTAGCTGACAATCATAGGACCGATTGGTCTGGTCAGAATAGCCTCATCTAGAGATCACCATTGTTGCCTATCGTTATCATCATTGTTGTTTTTTTTATTGCCTCGCCCGAAACATTCCATTATTATCACCTAGCTCGGTATAATCAGCTTTCGAGACATGCAAACGTTTTATTGTGATAACCCGAGAGAGTGACAGACCATATACAAACAAACGAACAAAATCAAACCATCAAGGAGAATTTAGGAGAATCGTAGTATCCATATCCAAATGTGGAGTATTGTTTTTTGGAATTTTTTTTAATTTTACAAATACCAACAAACACTACATACATTTTATACTAATATGATGATGATTTCATAATTATAGATGCAACTTATTATCCAACGCAATTGTTTTAAGAGATTTATTGATTTTTTTATATATGACACACACACACACCTATTAAACAGTAAACAGATATGATATAATAACAAACAGAGTAATACAATCAATCAATTGCAATGAATGAATGAATCTATCAATCATTTAATCATTGCTTTTGTTGCATCAATTTAATCTTCTCTTCGGCTTCACGTTGAATACTTTCCACCTGTAATAATGCGATCGATTTGAGTGGCAATAATTTCGGTTTACAAAGCACGAAATAAGGTCGTTCATCGATGATGACAAGATGTTGACTAGGAATGATCGGTTTAATCTCAGTATGTGATGATATACCACCACCACCACCAATTGACGATGCAGATGATGACTGATCTCTGGGCATGATGATTATGATTTTCGTCTATTTGACGGGATCGAATTCAATTAGATCAAACGAAATTTGACAAACAGTGTGATTGTGATAATGGCCAGGTCGTCATGGCGACCACAAATATACACACATAATAAACAGAATTTATGTATCGAAATGGATTTATTCACATGAAAAAAGCATATAAACATAAAAATGGGTAATACACCATTGCAATCAATTCGTTTTTCGGCAACGAACAAATTGATCGAAACGAAAATCAGCACATTTAAGCGTCACCAAAAATGTGATCACCAGTAGCAGATATTGCATTGGAATGGATATAGCGTATAGCTTCGAAGGATTCAAAAATGTCTACAGCAGAAACAGAAATACATTTTTCGGTTAGACATGTAAACACAAGAAAACAAACAAAGAAACTACTAAAGTTGCTTACGATATAAGAGGCAGCCAGATGTGAGATGAGCACGAATAAAATGAAAGGCTTATTGCCGCTATCACAGGATTTGAACAGAATGATTGTCCAACAAATGTGCAGCAGTATGAATGCCAATGTTGTCAGCGAAGCACACAGAAAAAAATAAGTGGATCCACCATCAAGACCAACAGTTCCGGGACCAGTAGCATCGGCCAGGATATTGATTAGAGAGAACACACCGCTCATCACGCCAAATCCAACGCCGGAAACTATGGATCATATCAATCAGAATAAATGATAAGCAATGCATAAGTGTCATACACACCGAAAGATAGTTGCATACGGTTGGTGTCCAATTTGGGCTGAATTTCATTCGATCCATTGCGACCAACTTCGGCCACTTTCTGTAAACCTGTTTCGGCCTTCCTATTTTGATACAAACACAAATACATAAAGATTATAACAAAAAATACAGCAATTATCAATTATGAATGGCTACCTTAGAACTTGATAGAAAAGATAACGGAACGTCTCTTGGAACAGTATGGAAAAAGTGACACCAAATAATAGATATTCTTTGAGTGGAACCACAATGGTCCATAAAATGGAGGATAACAGCAACGATACTAACCAGAAGAAGCATCTGTCCAAACAGATTCAATTGGTAAGAATCAATCAGTTAGACAAGAAATAATTGTCACATTGAAGAGAAAATCACTTACGCTGAGATCATGATAATAATACGAATTGGATCGTTGGCTATCACCAGACAAAACATTGCCAATGAAGGTCCAAAAGCTATTAAACAGTAGCCAAAAAATTCCAAATAAGCCATGATGTTTTTGATGATCGATTATCGTAAAGATGATATTTTTCGGCAACTTTGATCATACACAATAATCAAATCAAATCACAACTAAAAAATGTCAATCATATGGGCAACCTGATAACGCCATGACAAATTAACCAGCCACTGCTGCCTCTAGTGGCCAAATGACTATACTAAATGAGTAGTAGCACAAAGTATAAATGGATGAGAAGATGTTTAGTGATGGCCGTAAAAGTATCGTATGCTGACTAGCCAAATCGTGCTGTGCATTGGAAAACGACAATCGAAAACCCATAATCACTTCAAAGTTTTACCTGTTTCAACCACTGATATTGGATGAGTTAAATTACGCTTTTTATGCATTGTTTTTGCTGTTGATTACAAGTTATTCGATCCGTTTTTTGTTTTGTTTTTTTAACGAATAATTCTCAATACAACAAAATGTCTCAAGGAGCCAGTTCGAAAAGATTACAACAAACACAAGCTCAGGTATGTAGTTGATTAATGGATGATTAATAAATTGCCCGGTTGTGTATTTTGTTTTAGGTGGACGAAGTGGTTGGTATAATGCGTACGAATGTTGAAAAAGTTTTGGAACGTGATCAAAAATTGTCCGAATTAGATGATCGAGCCGATGCTTTGCAACAAGGGGCTAGTCAATTCGAACAACAAGCTGGTAAATTGAAACGAAAATATTGGTGGCAAAATCTCAAGGTAATTCTATACTGTTTACACTTTGTTTATCAATAATAATGATTCATTCGTTTTTTTTGTTTATTTGTACAGATGATGCTCATACTTGGAATGATTGTTTTGGTCATATTGATCATCATCATAGGTAATGTATCCATAGCTTTCCTTCTCTTTATTTTTATCTTTTTGTTTGTCTGTTCGCTTAATCTCATTCAACTAACTACGAACGGTTGTCTTTATTTTCCTTGATAAATATAATAGCTTCGTATTCTGAATAAATGTATGGAATGGACTGTGTGTACGTTTGTCACAATTTAACCTTACGACCTTACAACCCAACTTCCAAAAAATCGAATCAACGAGCTCTTTCTATATCACAAACAACGAACTATAATCATAATCATTTCCTATTAATAACGAACTTATTCTCTTTCGCTCTCTTTCTTTATATCACACTATTACTTTCTACTATCTAAGTGTCCAATTTCAATCTAAATTTTATATCCGAATACTGAATGGATTCATCATTTCTCTCTCTCTCTCTCTCTCTCTCTCTCTCTCTCTTACCACAGTTGCAGCCACAAATTGATATACCCACACCACACATCACCACAAGGATGGATCATATCGGTCATAAATGACTGATAATGATATTCACCCTTCAGTCCATTCAATCTGCCAATTAATGTGTGTATGTTTTCTACCCCCTAAAAAAAATCCATCCAATAACATGACAATGTCATCCCCAGCCCGATTGCACATTTCACCCACATCAAAGAACCTGAACTTTGAATGTGAATTTCAATCACAGCGCAGAATTTGGTTAATATTTTCAAAATCATCGTCTATAATGATTTAAATGTCGATATAAATGTTTGTTTCATAAATAATCAAATGATATATTACACATGCACACATATTTTAAAAAAAACCCATTATTAAATATAATGATGATGATGATGATGATGACAATAAAGTGATTGTAATTAAATTTTGATTGGTTATAATAACTATGCCATTTTATTTCATTTGGTTCATTCATTCGTTTATGTCATGGCCATTTGCATTTTTGAACATTTTGAAAATAATTTTTGATGACACATCAAACTGCAGTTTGTATTGCACACACACAGCAATTGTTTCTGTGTGTGTGTGTGTGACGCCTTAGCTTTTGTTTGGCGTACACACATGAGTGAGTGAGCCATTCATTGTCTGTCTGTCTGTTGTTTGTTTGTTTGTCGTTGATGTTTTTACATTTCGTCTGAGCAAGCCAAAATCCAGTGGCAAAGGAAATTAAACGAAAATCAGGTGATTCTGTATGTCAACAAATAGACAAAAATCTGATCTTAATTCGTTTGTATGTATAGTAATTGGTGGTGGTGGTGGTGGTGTTCCAAATCTGACAAGTACCAATCCTAGTCAGATTGCTGGTAATGCAATCGGATTCGACAGATTACCAGATTTGTATTCAATAGATCTCTAACAAGATTGACAACAATGACTCGAAGTCAGACGGCGGTCTCATCATCATTATCGCATCATGGAAGACAATCATCTTCAAATGCGAATAGTAGACATCATCGGTCCACCAGTAATAACAATAATAATCGTCGTCATCAACATTCACATATGAATACATTACGTTTGGCACAACTGTTGCAATTCCAATATGATGAAAATTTTACATTCATCTCTCCATATATCAAATATTTCCTTTTCTTTTTCAACCTTATAGTCTGGGTATAATATTATATTTATTCATTTGTTTAACCTTTGTTTATTCACTAACCATTTGTTCATCAGTTATTCGGCTGTCTATTGGTTGGCCTAGGTGCCTGGTCATTTCTTGAGGAATATAGCGACAATACGGCCATTCATATTCGGACCGTGATCGATCTTCTGCTCAACATATCATTGTTTATCATTGTGTTTGGCAGTATCGTCTTTATCATGAGCTTTACTGGATGCATTGGAGCATTACGAGAGAATCTTTTCTTGCTTCGATTGGTTTGTATTTAATAATTATTTGATGTCAAATTTTATTTATTCAACCCCATTGTCTATGTATATAGTATTCACTCATATTGTTGCTTATGTTCATCGCTGAAACAGTTTTGTCGGCAATTGCAATTCTTTTTCCGAATTCATTCCTCAATCTGGTGAAAGAAGCATTTTCCAACGAACCAATCATCAAATATCGGGATGATTCAAATTTACAGAATATTATCGATCTTGTACAAACGGAATTCCAATGCTGTGGTGTATCGGACAAAGGCTACAAAGATTGGTCGAAAAACATTTATTTCGAATGTTTGGACACTAATCCAAGTCGGGAACGATGTGCCGTACCCTATTCCTGTTGCAGAAATTCTCGTAACTTGGACGTAAGTTTCACTTTAGTAACAATTTCCCGGTTTAATTTTTTTCCTCTTTCAAGTCTGGTTTAATAAACAACGAATGTGGTTTCAACATGCAAAACATAAGCTCAGTAGTCGAGGTGAACAAAGACATTTACACTCGTGGTTGTATCGAAGCTATTACCGAAAAAATCGCACCACACATCAGCGTCTTGGCCTATGTCTGCATAGTCATTGCAATCATTCAGGTGATATAGTCTAATTATGAGCCTATAATAACAATCTAATCATGAAATTTTTTTTTCTATATGTTTCTCAAGTTATTCTTGATGTTTCTAGCTCGTTCATTACAAGGCCAAATATCGGCTCAATTATCCCGTTGGAATGGAAGATGATTTTTTACATAACTTTTTTTCTGTGTTTTGAATCAATTGTACAAATTATAAATGCAACAATTAACACAATCATCGTCATTATTATAAATACAATATAATTCATTTATGATTTTCAATACGATTATAAAGCTACATATATGTACACCATAGAAAGAACGGAAACAATTGATGTGGCTATGTGATGAATGCAAAAGGTGTAGGTGTGAATTGGGCGGACTAGTTTGGCAAAAGGATACTTCAATCCTTCTTTGCTGTGTGTGTATCATCAATCGAAAACAGCAGCTGTGGCTGATGTGGTCGCATAGAAACGTTCTTGGTCTTCTATTTGGCGAATGAATTCCTCTTCCAATTTCTACAAACAAAATGTGATTAGAATCCGATATAAGGTTTAAATGCGATAAAAACGCAACGAACCTGTTTTCGAGGTTTCAATTGTGATTTCCATTGTTTGAGCTCTTCAGCGTGTTCCTCTTCTAGCATGTTAAGCTTAAGAATCTCATGTTCACACAATGCTTTTTTCTTATCTTTCTGGATCTGTTCCAATTCATGGATGACGGTTAAACAGCGATTCTTTAGGCTTTCGATCTGTTTCTGATGTTTAAGCTCTTGACGAGCCTGTTCATCTTTGTATCGTTGTTTTTCACTTTCCTGAAATCGTTTTAGCTTTTCTCGTTCATCTTCATTGCTGAAGGCATTGTTTAAATTGGCCATACTGATCCTCAGACTTTCACGATACATCATTTCACGGGTTTTCATTTCCGATCGAATTCGTTTAGGCAACGATCTTTTTTCAATGGCCTGTCGTTTAAGTAATTCTTCTTCCTGCAGGCTTATCCAACGTTTGTAGTGTTCGAGTTCCTGTTTGAATATCAATCAATATGGTTTATTATTTTTAATTAATATTTTGAATAAATAAATAAATGAATAGTTTATGTTTAAAAAAAAGACAAACCTTTTCATGTCGATCGAGCATCTGATGTCGTTGTAGGAAAAACGATTCGTTTAATTGCTTCTTGAGAAGACTATATTTATTGTAGATATGTTTTTCTTCCAGTTCCCAGATGGCCGCTTCTCGAGCCCTAAGAAGTTGTTGTTTCTGTTGTAGGAATTGTCGTTCCATCATGGCCAACTTTTCTCGATGACTCTGATTCAGTTTGTTAATGTTGTATTCGTATTGTCGATTCAATGATTCAATAAATTGTCGTTCTTTATCGGCATGGATCTTGTCCAGCCGATCTTTTCGTATCCTGTACTCTTCTTTACGTTTATCTTTAGGCAACTGGTCCACCTCTTGTTTGAGCAATTTATGTTCGGCTTTAAGTGCTTCACGGAAATTTTTCAACTCTCGTTCCTGATCTTGTTTGATACGACGAACTGCCAATTTTAGCTCAACCTGTTGATGTTCTTCACCCTTTTCGACAAGCATTTTTTGCTGTCGAATCAACGATTCGAGATCACTATCGTACGATTTTTTTAATGCGGCCATTTCAATGTCGAATTTTTTCTCCTGGGCATCGTATGCCGCTATCGAACGACATTCAAGCTCTTGTAGCTGTTTGATTTCATGCTTTTGCAACATTTTCAGCTCTCGTAGCTCTTGTTTTCTATGTTGACATAATCATTAAAGACATATTATTACCACGACCGAAAAACTAGATCATCATGAATCTTACCTCAGGTATTGATCATTGTTCTTATCGGATTCTCCATCAATCACTTTTTGGGTGGTAGTAGTGACGACCACACCGTCAACGACAAATTTTCTGGTCTTTGTTTTCAACGTTTTTTTCTGAGCAGAATGATTATTAGAAACGGCAGATTTCTTATCACGTCGTGATGGCGATTCCTGTATACGTGAAACAGATGAATCAAATGTGAAACAAATGGATCGATTGTGATGGCAAATGACACTACTTACCATATCTCTTTGTTTTTTACGTATCAAAACTGCGGCAGATGATTGATCATTTGCTTGCTGCATTCTGTTGTTGTTGTTGTTGGCACTGTTGCTAATGACATTTTCTTTGTCACTGCTACCAACACTTCCAAAATTACTGCTGCTCGAATTGGAAGATTCTCTTTTCAAACTTTTGTTATTCAATTCTATCGGTGGTGATTGCACATTTTTATGATGATGTCCGTGATGGTGATGGCCATGATGGTGATGGTGGTTATTACGTTCATGGTTGCCATAGTTACGGGAACAGATAATGGGCGTTACCTGATCGATTTTTGTGGTCACATGATTGTCTTCGGCCGGAATTCGTTTCGGACTATTTGGCTGACGCTGTCGTTCGTTTTCCGATTTGAGATTCAGATTCACCTTAATCGTCGTTTTGATGTTGGCATTTGAGGTTGGCATTACAACATCATCATTCTTGTTTGATAAAGGTTTCTGTGTCTGTTTATCAGTTTGAATTATTATTCTACCCTTGGTTGATTTGTCAATCGAGGCATAGTTGTCGTTGATTGCTCGTTCCTGTTTGTTGTTCGATTGAACTTCGGAAGTTTGAATGGAAATCGGTTTGCCATCATCAATGGTGACAATCGATATGTTACGATGATCTTCGGGCGTCGATTGACTCACTGTATTGATGATCGTACTGTGGTTGGAAAGAATAGTCACCTGGCAATTATCATCATCGAATACTGATTCGTTCATTTGGGGTGTATGGCACGGTGTTAGATCGTCACAGTTGGAAATGTCTTCAGGATCACAATTAAGAATAGGATTATTGTCATCAGTGAACAAGGCGATTTTGTTTTGGTCAACCAATTTATGTTCATTCGATAAACTCGAATCAGTTGTCGTAACCAATTGTGGTGGTTGCTCTTCGTCTACGACATCATCCTCTTGTATTTCTTGGCCTTGAGATTCATTGACCTGATCTTCTATTTCTTCTTCGGCTTCTTCGATGGATTCTTGCAAAGCTTCCAGTGCTGCATGATCCTTGTCATTACCATTGGTTGAAGTTACTGGATCAGATAAAACTGGTGGTGGTGGAGCAGGTATACGTTTCGTGCTTTTCTTTACCTCCTCTACATTAGGCGTGGTAGGCGTTGGTGGAATCTGTCCATCGGTTGACGGTGGATTTTCCACCGAAGAATCCTGACGAGAAAGGCTATCCTTGTTGTTGATGTCATCATCTTCGTTCACTTCGGTCACATATTCAACAACTTCAGCTTTGTATTCACTGATCAATGCTAATAGGAATCGTTTGTCTTCAACAGGTTTCACCTGTTTTAGGAATGGATGCTCCAACAGTTCAGCCGCATTAGGCCTACTATTGTAATCTTTGATAAGACATTTGGCGATGAAATTGTTGAATTCCGGCGACCACTTTTTCGGATTATCTAATTTGGGTGGATCACCTTTTTGGATTTTCAATAGAACTCGCATCGGACTCATCTGGTGATTGGGTGGTTCGGTCTGAGCGAATTCGATTAAAGTGATACCTAAAGACCAGATATCGGCTTTGTAATCGTAAGGATTATCGCGAATAGTTTCACACATGATCACTTCGGGTGCCATCCTATTTGTTTGAAAATTAAAGTAAAATTGAATTGAATTGATAATTACTTTTTGGACTTACCAATATGGAGTGCCAATGAAAGAATCCCGTTTCTGAATGGTATTTTTGTTCTTGGCCGAAACACCGAAATCGGCTACATTCATGAAAAAAAGGAAATGCAATAGGTTAATGAGTCTTTGTAAACAAATGTATCAATCAACAATTACCTATTTTAACATCACCATCAAGCGTCAACAGGACATTGCCGGCTTTCAGATCACGATGTATGACTTTTTTCTCGTGCAGATATCGCAATCCTTCTACAATTTCATGACAAACATATCGTATCTGCGTTTCAGTCAACGGTTTTTCGAGATCCATCATGATTGAATCGATTGCACCACCTTCGCAGAATTCGATGAGCATCTGTTTGAAAACGAAAAGGTAATTCAATGGTTGTAGTTCAAATTTCAGATTTTCAATGCGTATGACTAATTTACCCAGAGTTTGCCCTCGTAAAAATACGCTTCGACCAATTGGACAATGTTTGGATGTCGACATTCGGATAAAATATCAATTTCGACAACAAAATCTTCTAGTTCATCCTCTTCCTTTAATTCGCAGATTTTGGCAGCGGCCAATTGGCCATTATGAATATTTTGGGCCTATTTACAAAAAAAAAAAAAAAATAGTTGCATAAAGATTAATCATTTTAGTCCATCTTTACAGCATGAATTCATCGATTTACCTTGTAAACTTTTCCAAATGATCCATCACCAATTTCACCTACAGTTTTCCAAGTTTCTTCGGGATTTTCATCGAATTTAATATTATGGAAAAATTTTTTACGTTTAGTACCGGCCGATCCATGGTTACCAGCACGAAAAACTTTATTTTTTATTCGTTCAAAAAAAGTCGACATTCTTGTCTTTCACAAGTTGCGCTAAGTTATACGGTTATTGTTTCTAGACATTGATTGATAAATAGCAAAATCAGAATTACAATAATAATGTTGATGAGATAAGGTAAGGAATGTTGATGTTGATTTGATGATAATGATGGAACACAACTATGCTCGAATGGATAGACATTATTGTTACTATAAATCGGCTTCCGTTATACGACATCAATCACACACACACAAATGCACATAGAAATGATAAGGGAACAATCATCACCAAGATATATAATCCAATCAGCCTATTGCACACGTACTATATGCTAGTAACAGGTATATATTGATCGATAAGTCACACCTTTGTCAATGACTGTTATTATCTCAAGATCAAATCATCAAACATAACATCTTAACTAATGAATAATGGAACGTGAATCACATTGAAACTCGAAACACAAGCTTTGCACTCACAATAATAAACAAAATAAAATAGACAGGTCAGCTGGATTCTCGGTTTTGGATTGGAGATTTAATGAACATTAAAATAAAGAGAAGCATACAGGTAAAGATGATAAAGTCCAAAACAACTATAGTTGTTTTGGGTGAATCGAATCAAATTTTGATGATGTTTGATGATGGCTTGGTTGCTCGGTCGATCTTTTTTTCAAATCGAAGCTCAATCGATGTACATTGAGGGAGAGAGAGAGAGATTTAGGATTCAGGAAAGACAAATCTGGCTCACCAACTATCCTACAAGTTGGTGTGTGTGTTTGTACGATGCAGCATCTCAATATTGGATGATGATGATATGTGTGGTGAGCTACAAGTTGCCGATGATTGGCATCCATCTATGCCAAGCAGGCAGGCAGCCAAACCAATAATATTAATAAATTGGTGTGGCCGATCATACCACCATCTGGTAGTCTGGATTATGATCGAAAAAAGAGCTAAATATCGACCGAGCCCGAAAGTATTTGAGTGCATCCATTGAACCACAATTGGCCAGCAAAAAGAAAGAAAGAAAGACATTGTGTTTATTCTACATACACACATACAGCAGCTGTTGTCATTAGTTATCCATCCATTGTCTTGCCGAGCGGTCCATTGGAAATCGATCGATTCGTTCGATTTCAAGTGGCTATAGCCCCTTCCTATAGGATTAAATTGTGTTATATCAGAATTAAATCGGCCATCTACATACATAATGAGCTTGAACGAAGAATCGACAACAGCAATAATTAGCAGTAATACACCGAACGAATCAGAATCATCAATACCATTGGTGTCTAATTGTAAATCAAACACATTTCTTTGTGGTGTCGTCGAAGGTAAGTATAAACATCATTAATCCTTTATCATTCAACAACTACAACCATAGTCACATTCTAGGATTCTATGGCCGACCATGGACACTGGAACAACGTAAAGATCTTTTTGTCAAGTAAGTGACCAGCCAATTTAAAGAGAATTTAATAACCATCAAAGATTATTATTGCAGATTAAGACGATTCGGTATGAATGTCTATATGTATGCACCGAAAGATGATCTCAAACATCGAAATTTATGGCGAGAACTATACACGGTCGAGTAAGTGAACATTTCATGGTTTATATAGGCTTATTTATTCATTATCCTTGCAGGGAATCGGAACAATTGTCTGTGTTAATATCGAATTCTAAGTCAAATGATGTCCTCTTTGTTTACGCTATATCACCGGGCTTGGACATTGGTTATTCAAATTCAAAAGATGTTCAGGCATTGAAACGTAAATTGGATCAAGTTAAAGAGCTAGGATGTGAGGCATTCGCTTTATTATTCGACGATATTGAACCTGAATTGAATGAAAACGACCGTGAAGCATTTAAATCGTTTGCAAGTGCACAGGTTTCGGTTACCAATGAGGTTTACCAACATTTAGATCAACCGGTATTCCTGTTTTGTCCGACCGAATATTGTTCATCTCGAGCCGTACCGAATGTCCAACATTCTGATTATCTGGCTACGATCGGAACCAAACTGAACACTAACATCGGTATCATGTGGACCGGTAATCGTGTTATATCTCAAAGTATTGGTTTATCGCAGATACAAGAACTAACCGATGTTCTTCGTCGAAAGCCTATCATCTGGGACAATCTTCACGCTAATGATTATGATCAGAAACGTTTGTTTTTGGGTCCATACAGTGATCGTTCAACGCAACTGATACCACATCTAAGTGGAGTGTTCACTAATCCTAACTGTGAATACGAAGCTAATTTCATTCCAATCCATACGTTGGGCCAATGGAGCAAATGTACTAAAGATGCTAGCGAATGTCAATCCAACTCCGATATCAAACTCGAATCTGAATCGGAAAATGGATCAATTGAAGATGTACCGGTCGAAATGGACGCATGTGTATATCATCATCGAAATGCATTGCGTATAGCCATCCAAGAATGGATTGCTGAATTCTACAAAGTTAAAAACCCACAAATAAAACCAAATTTAGTGTTAGGGACAAACTTTGCTGGCAATCCACCGCCTAACATTACAATTAACTATGATTCACTTATAACAACGACCGCTAAATTGTCGCCATCTTCTACCAAGAATGAGATATCGACCGAAAATAGTCTGATGCTTGATGCTGACATTGCCGTTCCGATCGTAAATGGCATAAATGGCAATTCGGTTTCCAACCATAACAAAGACCATGAAAACAAAGAGAATGCTGTTCAAAGCTTGGAACCGATGGACTGTAATCCGTCTCCAGATTCTCTCAAGATCAATTCGTTAGACGTACCTATGATGGAAAATTCAACAAAAGAGACTGATGGCAATTCAGCCAAAAACAGTATGAACAGTGTAGATTCGGATGAAATGCAAACGGAAGTTATATTCGAAAATGATGATTCTTTGGCAACTAACGAAACGAAATCCACAATGCTCACCTATGAAGACATTGCCCTGTTGGTCGATTTATTCTATTTACCGTTCGAACATGGAGCTCAAGGCGTTCAAATTCTACATGAGTTCCATTGGTTGAAGACCAACGGATTCATCGTATCAGAATATCGTCGTAAACGACAGATGACGGCCAATGAACAAACATCGATTGTTGGTGTAGAAATTAACGAATGGTATGACCGCGCAGCCAAATTCAACGATATGACCATTCTGATTGGCCGTCTGTTGACACGTTTAACATTCTGTAAAAATCGTTCTCTGCTATATGAGCTCTATCCTTATGTTTGGGATATCAAAGGAGTGATTTCATTGCTCAATTCATATGTCAAATGGATCGGTAAGTGTTGTATAGGACACACAAACACTTCTTCCATTCTATTTTCTTTGGATGGCGGTGGTCAATTTAAAATTCTTTGAAAAACACTTATTTCGCGATTCATTTTGTTACTGTCTCGTTCTCTCTCTCTCTCTCTCTCTCTCTCTCTCTCTCTCTATCTCTCTCACTCACCTGTCCCTTGATATAGCACTCGGCCGAGTTCCGGTGACAAACTTTTTCCAACCACTTGGGTTGTTTCCCGCAACTTTCACATGTATGACAATCATCATTTATTGATGGCTCATTTATATATAGGAACACCAGTTGATCTTTCTCGCCACTCCCCGTGCATGCTTAATAGTTTTTTTTTTTTTTTTAATTTCATTCCTAGTCATTTGCTTATAATGCATTGTTAATTGTATTCGTATTGTTCTAACCCTATGTAATTTTTATCGCTCGTTTGTATTTATTTATAGGGTTTTCCAAAGGATATAAAGAAGCATTTCAAAGCGGTGAACAAGAACCGTGGTTATTTCGTGGTGGTCTTACTGGTGAACTACAGCGAATGTTACCTGTAGAATCGGTGAGCGATTTATTCCTGTACAAGGCGCCTGATTCACCCACTAGCCGTATATACACAATCCGTCCCTATCTGCCAAGTGATGTGCAATCGGTGTACGAAGTGTGTTTTAAAAATTACGATCGCCACATCTATCTAGAAGATCAGGATGAATTGGTTGGGGATAAATTAATCGGTGGTTTTCTTACACTCAGTCCTGAATATTGTTTCGTTGTCGAAGATGATGTCCGTCTATGTGGCTATGCTTTGGCCGTGTTGGATGCTAAAAAATTCTTCGCCAAACTACAAGTCTCATGGATACCTGAATTGTTGAAAAAGTATCCATTGACATCAAACGACTCATTGGTGGTGGCCGAACGTCGATCGCTAAAGGAAAAATATGTGGGCCAATTTGTGGACGAAATGCATAACCAATGCAAGCAACAACAATTTTCCGATCCTGAAGAAATATTCACAAATTATTCATCATTACTATCATTGGCTGTCATGGCCAATATCATCGATCTAAGCGTACCAAAACGGATGCTCACCTGTGTGATTGCTGCACTCAAAGCAAATGGTTTGTACCTTTGTAAATGATTCACATTTTTCATATGACAACATTTTCAATGATCTAGGGTCGAAAGGCTTGTATTGTCGATTAGCAGCAAACGATAAGAAAACCATCGACTTTTATCTGAAGCTAGGATTTCATACAATCAGTCTGACCAACTCGATCGCTACCAATGATGATATCTATGTGGGACGAATCATCTAGCCCATCATCATTCATTCAGTTCCTTCACCCCATATATGAGCCATACACAGATGTACAAACGTTTTTTGGTGATATAAATCTCTAATATTTTGGGTGATATCCTCTCGCATGCCCCCTTTCCCCATTCTCCATTACTATTTCTATATTTCTATTCTATAATTAATACATAGACACACTGACGAAAACCGAAATTGAATGACCGATAAATATTAATAATTGATATTTCAATAAATATATAATAATAAATATAGTAAGGGGTTAGAAATTATGATTATTTTAATCAATGAATGGATTTGATTATGCATAATAATGATTGATTGATGAATTGTTGTGTATGGATGGATTTTATCATTATGATGATGATGATGAGTGGATGCAGTATCACATGATACCAATGATCTTATAAGTCAAGCCGGAATAAGTGGATGTGGTCGCTTTGTTTAGCTGATTTCGATTCGATTTAGGTTTGGACGGTGAGAAACAAAAACAGCCAGCACTCATACGACGTCGTTTATAACTTTTCGGATTCTGTTGCCATTCTCGTTCACGAACGCAGCGTTCAAAGTAATCTAGCTCTTTCAGGTACCATACTGGTGGCCATCGATTTCGGTTTAAGTAGGCTTGATTTTCCGGATGTAACGATCGTAATAGCTTTGTGTGATTATGGCAGATATCATTGTAATGTGTGGTGATGTAATGAAAACAGAATTCTGTCAATTGATCTGCGTTATGTATCTGCGATGGTTCCAGTAATCGAATTACGGCCGGTGTTATATCCGTTTTTTGTTTTTCACACATACACGACAGTTCATTAACGACACATTCTTCGATTAAACCAATAAGGCGTGTGAGACAAAAACGATTAGCAAGTTCGATTAGTGGAAGGCAATTTTTATGGTTAATGCAATCGACCAACATATCGGTGTAAATGTAAAAAAGCATACTGTAGAATGTATCCTTGGCAACATTCGGAAACACTATCTGCACATTGTGAAAAACAGTTAATCATCATCAAATTATGCATCAATTAAACAATCAAAACACTTACTATTTGAGCAAGACTTTCACGAAAATCACCTTTGAACATGGCTTCCATCACTTCACATCTGGCCATAAGAACAGCTTTATGGCCATAACAAGTACCATCGTCCAATCGAAATATGACATCTTTACAAAACAAAACAGTGTCACAAAGAAACAATAACGACTAAAATAATTTACTAAAATACCAACCGGAAAAGAGTCCTTTTTCGATACCAAAAAAAGCAAAACGTTTTGCAAATATATCATATTTGCTCGTTTCAATATAATGTTGCATGTTGGGAATAAAATTATCTAGCGAAAGGATGGACATATCGAAATCGACAAAATCCAAATAAGATAAACATTTGTATAGATCATTCAGTTGACCATAAGTAAATGGCTTTGTCGTCGTTGTGAATGAATAGAGCAACGAAATGTATGTATTCAATGCTTCGAATGGAATGTTATCACCAAATGATATGATCGATTGACGAGTCGATCTTAGACTAGTACCATCTAAACGTGCTTGTCGAACATGTTTATATATAGTGACAAGTTTCTGCTGAAACAATTTCAATCGATGTTTCGATTGCTGAAATCGATTGTATGAGAAAAGTTTCTGCTTGCTGAACGAATGTTTGAACAATTTGGATGCATCGAAACTAAGTAACGGAAATAGCGAGGCACTGAGTACGTATTTAAGATGATTCCAACGAACATCCAATAGACTGTCATCAACAAACGGTTTCGGTTCATGTTTATCCAGGTCGTCCACCGAACTGGCTATGCTTATATCACTAGCACATCTGGTCAACCGTTTAGTTGTGGCTGGAGCGGATGCTATAACCGAATCTATGCACGTTCCAAAATGAGCTTTACATCGATTATAGGGTGGAAAAGTGAACAATGTGTTCAACATATCAGACGCTGTGATCAAAACGATTTTGTGGCAGTTGATGCTGGCCTTGCTGGCCGTATGGTTAACAAACACAACATCCGTATAAGCTTGTCGGTTGAGCAACGATCCAATATCTAGGCCATAAGTCGATGCTGGAACTACCAATTGGGGAAGCTGTGGTTTGGGTGGCAAAAACGGTTCCTGTAGCAAACAATCACGGACATGTTTTAAACTGGTCATCAGAAATCGTTGTTGTCGGCGAGCAATCAATGCTGAACGAATCACATTCTCGAAAACTTGTTTGACGCCGTAACCGGTGAATACGCTCGTTTCATAGTAAGATGCATTAATCTCTTTGGCCATATTACGACCTTGTTCCGGTGACAATATGTCACATTCTTTAAGTGGCCTATGATAAACGAATGGTCCATCATTAATATTTACATCATCATGGCTTTGTCTATCTATCTATCTATCTGTCTCCCTATATAGCCATATTGGCCATATTCATATATTGATATTCTAGCCACTAGCGCCTATATCTATGTGAATCTAATTGCGCTACCAACTGGTAAATTCATAATTATACTATAAAATAAATACCTTCCGCATTCTGGAAATCTGCAGCAAAGATGATTAACCCTATAATCGAAGAAAAAAGGGAATCCAATCGAAGAAAAGAGAGAGAGAAAGATAATGATTTAGAATCAATTTGAATGAAACTCAGTAACACAAATGACTATGGCAGCTAAACAAAGCAAACCAACAGAAAAAAGATTTCATGTGCTCATCCTAGGGTAGCATCGTTTCTACTACGAAAGCGTGAGACATAATATTTCTATCTATTTTCATTTCATCATCTATAATGGCAATCAATGGATAAGAAAAAAAATCGAACCCATTCGACCAGTGCATTCAAGCAAAAAAGTGTTACAACAAACTAAACATTACCGGAAAAAGGGACTTCGTTCACGGCAAAGATTTTGAAATTGTTCATCACGAAACATATAACGTAGATCATTCTTACAGCCCACCAATACGATCGGTGTATTTGGACAGAATTTACGAATTTCAGGATACCATACTGTTTTACAATTCCTCAACGATAGTGGATTAGCGATAGAGAAGCATAATAATACGACATCCGATCTGTTTCATTGAATTAATATTAAATGACTAATAATGTGTGTGTGTAATGCATACCTGCCATAGGCGAAACGTCGATCTTTATCATGATCACCAAAAGTATCCCAAAGTCTCAATGATACGTTCACACCATCCACAACTTCCCAGGAACGTTCCAAAACTTCTTTATGAATTCGATATTGATCAATGGCCCATACAGTTGGTATATGTGTGGTCATCAATTGACTTAAATCAAGAATAAGATTACAAGCTTTTGCACATATTAGACGAGTTTTTCCTGTAAAAAAAAAATCCAATTAAATGGTTGTGTGTGTGTGTGTGTGTGTGTGCATGAATCTCATTAGATGATCAACACATCATCATCATCACAAGACTTTTCTTCCTGGATGATGTGACGATTGCATACACATTGTGCATCAAAAAAAAATCGAATACGAACCAACAGCAGTATCGCCAACAACGACGCACTTTACCAATTCCTGGTGTGATTGTTCATAATCCATTCTCATAAATGATAATATCTAATATTTCGTATATTTTTTTCTCCCGCCAGTATAATTAGATGGTTATGCAACATCTGACCTTTTTTGTGGCTTCGTTTGAGATGATGATGATAATGATGAAACAATGTCACGATGAAAGTGTTATGATGAAAAAAAAGATGAACAAATTATTATCGATGAACGATGATGATGGTCGGTCATAACCATAGAATGATTTGTCAAAATGTATATCATCACATGTACGCCAATGAAATTGCTAAATCGATAACTTTGTTTATTAATAATCAATCGATACTTGGTTGATAGACACAAACAAAAACATAGATCAACAACATCAACAAATCCACGTTTAGTTGGATGATTATTACATAATAAAAACGATGTTTTGCACGATGCACGATGCACGATGTATACATTACTTGTCAATCATTAATAACACTGGACTATATTGAATGACAGTAAATCATTTAAACGAGTATATATGGAATGAAAATTTAAAAACGTAAAATCAACATACCATTGAATGAGAACATTTTTATTATTATTTAGCATATGAAACTATATGGCGTTTATTACGTCTTGAATTTTTCATGCATGCTTCATGTGTGTGTGTGTGTGCTCATTCATCATGGAATGTTTTGATTCATACACGGCGTCAACAACAACATGACAGACATGGCAAGAATCGCCTGGCTAATAACAAACAACAACAAACAGACAAACAAAGCGTTATCACCTATGGACGCCCATTGCTGCCAATTTTGTCATGGCTGTGTTGTGGTGTGGCCCTTGCATCCTTTTATCTTAAATGTTTTTTTATTCATTCATTCATTCATTATTTTCTACATCCATATCGTTGGGTTCACGAATCATCATCATCATCATTATCATTATGTTTGTTGACGTTTTACGACGTATAATAATAAACTATAGTTACGACAACATATAAGGAAAAAATGTATGTCCAATGAAACAATAACGACGCATATTCTATTCACACACACACACACACACACACACACAATCAATGTATATGGCGTGTTGATTGATGTAATATACATGTATATCATTCCTTTTGGCCATTTTCCAGCCGGCTGTTAGGATTGGGCGGTGCCGCACCCTACAACTATTTCTTTTTTTTTTGGCAGGCGCATTCAATGTTTCGATATCATATGTGAAATGGTGAATCAATTGTGAAATGAAAAAAAGTTTCCTAATCGGTTTTTCGTGGAAATTTAAATATGAAAAAGCGCGCGCAATTTTTATTCAAATTTTTTTTTTACAATTTTCTACCCCTAATAAACACAGATTATGATTACATTGGGTGTAATGAACTCTGATCATTATGGCTGTTGTTCGGTTGGCCATCATCTGTCTTTTATAAAGAGCTTCTGGCTAAAAACAATGGAAAATTAAAATCACTTTGGATAAATTTTGGGCCACAATTTTATTCATATGGTCGCTAATATACTAAGTATAATTTGATAAGTGGAAAAATTATAAAAATAAAAAAATGTATAAAATATTTAAATTATAGTTGATACATTATATATTATAATAAGAATATTAACATTTTTTTCCGAGGAAAAAATATCAATTTCACTATTTTTTTTGCACCTAAACCATTTGACAAAATGTTCATGACAACCATATCATTATCATATTGATTATTGAAATCGATATCGATGACAAGAATAACGGATACTTATCAATTGTGCCTTTTTTTCTTTATTCATAACCTAATTCTAATCACATATATTTCGGGTAAAAAATAGCGTGTGAAAAAGAAAGAAGGAAATGAAAAAACAAATAATGCTTACACCGAATTATCATCAAATTATTCTATATTCCATGTTTATGATAATCATTATTATTATTGCGAATCAAAAATCTTTTCATACATATGGACAACATTTGGATAAGTTTATCGGTGAACAAACAATATGGGAATATCTACGCGATTTATGTCAACAACAACAACAACAAGAAAGCGATAGTAATACGAATATTGTATTCTTTGTGATGGAAAATTTTCAAGTTTTTCCACAAAACTTCATAATAATCATTCAAATTTCAATTCATCATTTGCATCATCGATGAACGATTGGCGATCATCATCAAGTTTGATAAGTAATTTTTTCGATCTTCATCATTGTAGATATGAATTGTTTGACAATAATCATGATACAAAAACAATAATGGCCGAGATGAAAATTCGAAATAAACATTCGAAATATAGTAATGGGTTATTATTATTCAATATGGTCACGTTGCTGGATCGATTAAATAGGAATTCATTTGAAACGCTTTTGAAATCAATGGAGAAAATTTCTACCAATTGTATAAATTGTTTTCCATTGATTGGTATTTTTTCACAATCAATTCAAATAGATTTAACCACATGGTTTTCACAAGATTTATTGAATAAATTAAATCGAAAATTTTGTTGTACATTAGTTAGCACTAGCACTAATTATGGCGACATTCAACGACAACAAGTAATCCATTTACGTCCATTGCTTGATGGTTGTCATCTATATGATGGTGTTTATTCACCACAAACTAAACTAGATTTTGATCGAATGAAAGCTCCATTTCATCAATGTAATTTAAACAAATCATTGATTAAAATTGCCGTAAATAACGTAAATACATTCGAATAAATCGAAGGAAATCTACTATTCTATGTCGCTTAAATTTCCACTGTAAACTGCAATTTTTACACTCTGCAAGTATAAAAAACTGTATTAACTTGGCATTTGATGCGGGGAAGCCGAGCTGGACATTCCTAATTATTTTCAGTACAAACATAACTATTTAGTATGAGCTACTCAGTGTGTGTTGTGTGTGTGTGTCTGAGCATGCGGAAAAACTTTTGAATGCCGCTGAACAGTTCGCCCAGCTCAGAAGTAGAAGTCGCTTCCAAAGAAACGCATTCTGTGGTATGTAGCTTCGACAAAGCTTTTTTTCATTGTTCTAGCTCAGCACACGTTGCTGCAGCTTTTGCATCCAATAGATGGTGCAGTAATTCAATAGAACATAGAAAGAGTTCGAATTTTTCGAATTGATTATTGTGATAATACATGTGTCACACGTGATTTTCATTTTGTGTGCCTGTGTGAGTGTGTATTTGATGATGAAATCTTGCCTGAAGACTGCATTTATTGGAATGATTTGTTCTGTGTTTTTGTTTTCATGATTTATTATCTACTCATCGCTTGGTAAGTTATTCCGGTTATTTAACCTGATTATACATAAAATACCTGATAGCTTTTTTTCATTTAAAATAAAGAAAATGGAGCATTTACGATAATGCAGAAAGCCACAGCGGTCGACGATTCAATGTTGAGTGTCTTCATGCGATGAACCCACAAGGTTATCCTATAGGATCTATAGACACAAACTTGGATTAAACATTGGATCGATTATCATGTTCAGTCGCAATATTGAACCACAAAGTGGTTTGCTCAATGGCACGAGTCTATTCGATATATGGATGGCCAAAATTTTCATGACAACAAAATTAGCTAATCCAAAAGCCTATTCACAGGCCAGTCGATTTCGTAACCCGTCAAATGATATTGAATGGTCACAATTAAAATTGGTAGATTTTAGTACCATATTTTCTATTTGGATTTCCTGCATAACATTTTCGATCATAATTCTTGTCGTAGAGATCATCAACAGAGGCATAAAAAACAAGTGACATAGAATCCACAATAGTTGATAAAGAGAATGAATGTAAAATCATTGGTGTGATGTGAAATGAAGGAATTTTTACGGAAACTATTCTATAATTTGTAGTCGGAATTTTTTCGAGGAATTGTTTTTAATGTTCGAATAAAATCGTGAGTGTTTACTTTAATCATTCATTCATTTAGCGCGATTTTGATTATATCCAAATATATATTCATTTGCTAATCATTCTTCTGGAATTTGATTATAAACTTAATGTTATCATAATGAAATCAACAGTTATCGGATTAAATCTTCGTACATTATCTAAAACGATTCGATTAATGGCCAAATATTCGGAAGAGATAAAAATCCTGGTCATAAATGATTGTCTTATATTACAATCGGTAAATTTCGACAGCACGTTATTCTGTCAGGTTACTTTTGAAAAAAATTTTTTCACATCATTCCAAAATGATGATGATTTTGAATGTAAAGTTGATATCCGTTCCATTGGATTTGTATTCAGAGTTGTCTCTTTAGGTTTGTAAATTATTAATGTTGCAAGATTGAAATTTCATCACTGATTTTATTCCATAGATAAAATGACAAATGTTTGTAAAATCAAAATGGATAATTCAATGGATCATATCATTTTCCACATGGAATGTCCTAATCGTATTAGACGCAACTATCGGATACCGATCATGAAGAATAATGATCATCAACGTTGCCCGGTTCCTTTATCACAACAGCTATCAAATCCAACATTACGATGTAGTGCCTATACTATGAATGAATCGATTAAACCTTTTCCATTATCTACTGATGAGATCATCATATGGACATTTCGTGATTATTTAGGTTTTAAAACATATTTTGAAACCAATTATGACGGGCCTATGACCGAATTTTGTGTTTCATCAACTTATTTTCGTATGATGGATTCAGTCTATAATTATACGAATGATATGTCCATTGCATTAAATTTAAAAGAACTTCGGTCGTTTTTAGATTTTGCAATGCATCGTAATCAAGTCATTTCGGCCTATTTACAATCCGATGGAAAACCGATTGAATTTATGTTTAAAAATTCTGATGGTTGCTCCGCTTCAATCATGATGGGCACCATTGATTTGAAAAACGACAGTCAACCAGCTATTCCACCCGCTTTTCGAATAACTCATCAAATAACAGATGATTCATCATCCGGTAGTGTTCTGCAAAATGTGAGCTTAGATTCACGTGCAATTTCTCATGAAATTCCAATGAATCATTCATCAATGGGAAAAGAATCAATTCACCATGATGTTTCAACTTTTATCGGTAATGTTACCAATTCATCACTCCCTAATCAATCGATTGGTCAGCAACAATTATCGTTATTGGATCAACGTGAACAATCAATGGATACCGCCAGTGATCATCCTATAAGAGATGAATTTATCCCGCAAAATATTGATCAAAATGATGATGATAATAACATTGATATTTCTAAAGAAATTTATCAAGAGATAGAAAATTCTGATAATGAATTAACGTCATCACAATCACATTTTGTTTTTGGTGATCAAAGTTTTGAACCATATGCTACTTTAGCACCATATTCCGAATATGAAGTAACTGAATGATGACAATTATAATTAAACTATTGTAATTTTGAAATTTTTTTTTTGTTAAAATCAATTTTCTCATTCATTTTAATAATAATGAATCAAAGATGTTTGATGGATTTTTTTAGATTAAAATAAATGTTCATATATGATTAATCAATAACAATTAATCGAATAATAATTTGTCAATTTAATTAATTCATCATTCCACATAGAATACACACACAATTTTCAAAATACAATTATAACACTGTTATATACGTGTTTGCGTGTTTGTGTGTCTCAAAAAAAAAAAAAATTAATGATCTCCATTTTAAAAATATCTTCATTCAGAATTCAAATTCGAATTTTTTTTAAATATATTTACAATTCATTGGAAAAGAATGGTTTCCATTCGACATACATGTCATTATATAATATATATGGTGTATGTGTGATATAATATCATTGAAAATGTTAAAGCTTCATGTTCAGATGATGGCCGAAACAATGATGTGTTATAAATGAATGAAAAATTTTTGTTTTTGTTTTTTTGTATTGTATAAATATATAATGAGATCTTTTATGTATGTGTGTATGTCAAAATAATAATAATAAAATGTGATAAAATGAAATATACAACAGATTTTTTTCGTTTTTCATTGTATTTTTTAAAAAGAAAAAAGTTACCATGATCAATATATTAATAAGATGTTTGTAAATGAAATAATAATAATTTTTTTCAAATATATAAATCATGTTGTAGAATTGGTTTGAGCTGGAATTGCAGTGAGAGAATCAACAGGTATCTGAGTTTGTTGAAGAAGATAAAGATGATGATGATGATGATGATGATGATGAGGATAATGACAAAATAAAAAATGATAATAATAAATATTCAAAAATCGGAAACCGATTTGTATAATTTTTTTTGTTGTTAAAATTATCAAATAAATTATTTTCTTGAAAATATTACATTTGGAATGTCAATTATCATATATATAATTCAGTCATCTTCAACAAGATAAATAAGCAGCTGCATTTTATATGTTTATAAAAAAAAGTCAATAATTTCGTTGAAAAAAAATTGCAGGAAGTATGTTTGATACGTTGCCATCATCAGGTATGATTTGATTTTTTTTTCATTAAAAAAATCACAAAAAATTCAAATGGATCCCAAATAATAATAGTAATCACAACTTGACTTCAATTTTTTTTCCAAAAGTTAATATTTTTTCTATATAAGGCGATAAATGGCTCATTCTGGCAGTTGTAATTGGTGTTGTTGATCAACAAACACAACTAAACAAAAGTAGCGATTCCGGTTGGTGATTGAACATCATCACGTTTTTTCTTTGGACCTATGGGATTTTTTCGATTATTTATTCGATATTGTAATTAACATACACATTATGATTTTCATACCATATTCACCGATGAATGATCCATCTTCACCAAATTTCGAACTATCCGCTTCATAATCGGCCATTGAATCTTCATCGCTTTCAGGATTTAGACTACTATTCATTGAATGACGGCTACCACCACGTGGAAATGTTGATAATGGTTTATTGTATTCATTAAAACCGGCTTCTTCATAATCATCTTTACCATGGGCAATCTCTTTTTCGTGTACAGAATATTTACCACCACGATTACGTTTAACAATACAAACAAGAACGACGGCAACAATAATCAATGCAATTGCACACATCATTGTTATAAACCAAGGTGCGAAATTGGAAATATGTCCAATTGGATCCATACCGTACATACCTGTAGCCATAGAATTGAAATCATTATTTGAAATCAATAAATCAATCATATGATAGAAGATGCACTCACCATTTGGTATCACTTCTTTCAATTCACTTGGTGTTTCATATTTACCATCAACAGCAACAATTCTTACTTCATAAGTTTTATCCGGATCCAATCCACTAATGTAAACCACTGTTGAATCTTGATTTTCATCTCTTGGAGTGCTGAAAAATGAATTCGTTCCTATTGGTTCGAGAACAAAAAAAAACAATTTTCAATCATTTTTTTTTATCAAAACAAATAAATGTTTCCAAAAACATTACCTTTTAATCGATATTGTACATAGAAATTATTGCCCGGTATTTTAGAGGAATTAGGATACCAAGTTATTTTAACATGATCAGTTCCATCATTAGCACGTACATGATCAATATCGAAAACCGGTCTATCCGGTTGTGCGGCTGCATCCTCTCCTTTTGTTTCCAATTCGATGAAGAATGGTTCGCCCATACCAACTTTGGTGGCAGCATGAATTGTAATACGATATTTCGTTCCGGGTAATAAATTACCAAGTTTAACACCTGTAATTTTTGGATCATCAATCTGTGGAAATCTTTCCTGTTTTGGACCGAGTTCTGTGCCATCAACACTTTCATAGAATATACGATAACCGGTTATTTTTCCATTCGGTTCATCCGGTGGTGACCAATACAAATATATAGCATTTGATCCCATTGAAATACCTTCGAATGATGATACAGGACCGGGAACACCTTCGGGCGTATTGATAACAATCTCATTCGATGGATCACTCATATACATTGAATTATATACATAAATTCGTGCAATATTTCGTGAATTTGGTTTAAAAATCTGCACCAAACTTCTTGATACATTTGGCGGTATTTTGACTTCACGCATTAATTTGACATCTTCACCGACTGCATATGTTTGAATTTTATAGCCTTGAAAATGTCCACGTACAGAATCCGATGTGACAGGATCCCAGGCCAGTAATGCCGATTTATGATCACGTACTTCGATAACACGAAAATTTTCCGGTGATCGTAATGGTTTAGCTTCACTTGACCAACCAATCACTTCACCGGCTGCTGTATGTGCAGCACCACGACGGTTATGTGCTTCTACTTTGATACGATACGGTTTGAATATTGGTTGATTTTCGATTGTTAAATGATTCTGTTTCCAATCGGTTATTGTACGACTTTGCCATGAATCATTTTCAATATCATGTCGTTTCCATGATACTTTATAATAGAAACCTTCAGAATTATGATCGATTGGTGTCATTGGTGTCCAACGTATTACTAATGTTCCGGGTTGTTCACCTCGTCCAATAACATTATCCGGATTTTTATATGGAACATCTTCTTTGGTTGAACAAAATCCATATGGTATACTTGGTTCACTTGGACCGATTTTATTTTTAGCAATCACTCTGAATGTAAAATTTGCCCATGGACTCATGGCTACCTTGAATTTTGTATCCGGTGCTGGTACATTTGTAAATGCATTAAGCCAATTATCCGGATGAAATGATGTATTATATTGGATATCATATGAAAGGACTGGAGCTCGATTATCACCTGTAGGTATCCATTCCACCATAGCGGTTAGGTCATCACATTCGACGCTAATAATTTTTGGTGAATTAGGCACATCTTGTACAGTTAATGTAGCGGAAGCATTCACAGAATCAAGCTCGGTACTTGCAATACAAGTATAAACACCGGAATCTAATTCTTTTGTTGTCGTAATAGTCAATGAATTATCTGTTGACTGAACGATTCTTGGATCATGTGCAGTATCGATTGGACGTTCATTGAATGCCCATGATATTTTCAGGTCTAAACTTGGATCAGCCTCAGCACTACAACGAAATACGGCTGTTTTTTTCGCAGCTACTTCATAATTTTCAGGTGCATGAATAATTTTTGTTTTGCCTTTAACTTTCAATTCACCCGATGCAAATCTGGTGCCAAATTTATTTGTTGCAATACATTTATATTTTCCTTGATCGGTTACACGTACATCATGTATTCGAAGATCACCATTATCCAGTACTTCATAATTGGCACCATTCAATGATGTATCATCTTTTTCCCATTTTACTTCAGGTTTTGGAGCACCAAATACACGACATTTAAGTATAACATTTGATGTAACAACAGCACGTGTTTCTTTTTCCGGTGGATCGACAATTTCCGGTGGTAATTTCAATACATTCAGATAGAAATCTCTGAATGCATAACCATTAACATTGGATGCATTACATTGATAAACGGCAGTGTCAAGTATTTCTTGTACATTAGTTATGGTCAATTCATTACCATTCACACGTACACGATCATTTGGCACTAATTGTTCACCATTTTTAAACCATTGTAATTTTGGTTCCGGTACACCGGCAGCAACACAACGGAATGTAACCGTTTCCGTATCGGCAGCATTCGTATTATTTGGTGCTTCTATCCAATATGGAATCGATTTGACAACAACTTCCATAGCATGTGTTTGTATGGAACCAACACCATTGGATGCTGTACATTCATAGATACCTTCATCATTGAATTCTACTTTTGGAAATGTTAATGTTTTGCCATAATTTGTTTTCGTAACACCTTCTCGAATACGGCCATTTCGTTTGTACCAAGTTACCTCCGGTATCGGTGTACCACCAAATACACAATATAAATCTAGCCGTTTTCCTTTCAATGCCGGTACATTTGGTGGTGATACATATTGACGGGTTGGTGGATAACTTGTTTGACCTGTTGTACCGGATGGTTCAACCACTAATCGTGTACGACGACCAATACGATATGTTGTTTTAAATGTTGATGTTGCACTACAAGCATAAACAGCATCGGTCAATGTATCTTTCTGTGTTACATTTGAAAAATGTAGATTTCCTTCTGGATCAACAGAAAGACGTGATGAATTAATACCGTTGATTAATGCACCGGAATCGGATTGTATAATCCAAAATACTTGTGGTTTTGGATAACCGGTAGGTGGATGGCATGGTATTGTATATGGTTCACCTTCTGTTGCATGTACAACAGATATTTCATTACTTGAAAATGAATTCAATTCAGCTTTTTTTAGATAAACAGCATTTGACACTGAACGGCCATGTTTATTTTCGGCAAAACATTGATAAAGACCTTCATCTATCGCTTGTGGTTTTGTAAATACCAATGAACCACGTCTTGGTTGTTGCGTAATGCGTTTATCATATGCAACATAACTGAATTCAATACCATTTTTTTTCCATGAATATGTTGGTTCAGGATTTCCTTTAGCTTCACATTCCAATACGAATGGTCGTTCAGCTTGTTCAGCATCTGAACCTTGAAATACTTCAAATAATTTTTCATGCGGTGGTTGTTTAATCATTGTTGGTGGTGATTGTAGAGCATCCACTTTGACTATTAATATCGTTGCTGGCCAAATCATTATTATGATGGCCATTAAGTTCTTCATCATCATGATGTCTGATTTTCTTCTTCTTTTTCTTCCTCTTTGGTTATTTATATTTTTATCATCGTTATTATTATTGTTATCATCGTTTTCCATTGTGAATGGATTATTTGATCTGTAATGAAACAAAAAACAACGGTTAGATTTTATCTGTCAATTCATAAATTTATTTTTAAACAATAAATTTTTATGATATTTTCAACGGAAAAAAACTAATTCCGAAAAATGTGTAAATGTGAAAAATGAAGATCATAAAACCTGTGAATGAATTTCCATGAAAATTTTCATAAAAACAACTGTTAAAGTTTATGACCACATCATCATTCTCATCATCGAAAGACTTGTCTGAATCATATACAAAACAAAGTAATAAACAGTATGAGAAGAAAAATCTCAAAAAAACTGGATCAATAATATTTATGATGATGAAAAGGCAAGAAAAACGACTGATCCATTCTGAAGGGAAAAATGTGTGCAAATATGTATGGCCATAAAGAATGGTTCGGTTGGAACCAAACATCCATGTACATTTATATTTATGGTAAAAAAATATCCTCGTGATGATGATGATGATGATAATGACGGTCCTTTCCAGCGAAAGAAATTATAAACAACATTTACAAGGTAACATTAAAAATAGCAAAAGAAATTGAAGATCACCAACCACAACCATAGACCAACAACATAATTTGTTGTTGTTCATGAATGATAATAATAATTTCTTTCACAGAAAAAAAATTCAAAATTTTCAAACGAAAAAAAAAATTGTTAAGATATCAATTCATATAGAGAGACAAACACATATTTTGTATATGAAATCACATCAATGATTATCATTCAATATAATTCAAATAGCCATTGACAATGATAAACACACTGTAAATGAGAGAAAAACAAAATGATTCTCAATAACAACGACAACAAATAAGACAAAGATCAAGACTTGTTATATTTACCTGACATAAACACAACGCGCATATGAAATTCAAAAAAAAAAAACATTTACCACATTAAATGTGAAAAAATGGATGCAATACAGAGAGAACGATAATGATAGATAATAAAATCTGATTTCGTTGATAACAAAAAAAAGTGCAAAAATTGTCAAGTCACACACATATCATACACCATAAATAAACAAACATATCAAAATTCTCACCAAAAAAAAAAAATTTGTCAATCAATATATGATCAGAGGAGAAAAAGGAGAGAGGGTCCCCCAATAATAACATAATTTCATTCGATTATTGTGTGATCAACGGACAAAGAGATAGAGTGAGAAAGACAGAAATTATTTGAGAAAAAACTATGGGAAGTGAGAGATGCAGAGAAAACGTAACATCATCATCATCATCGATTCAATTCAATGATAAATGTGACAAACACACACACACACACACATCATCTCAATCGACCAAATGTGAATAATCATGTAATTGGATCCATATCTATTTAATGTACTTCTATTCGACATTCATTACACATCTCATTTCATTCATTACACATTATCATCAATACATCACACACATCCATAATTGAATTTTTTTAATCAAAAAAAAAATCAATTGATAATAATCAATCGATCGATTAATTTTAGTTTCGAGAAAAAAAAACAATAGTAAATATATAGGAAGTATTTATATATATCGAATCAAAAGATTAATAATTTGAATTTTCTGTCATACATACACTTATTTATAGTTATACCTGACAACAACAACGTCAATTTGTCATCATCATCATCATCATTCTCATTATTGTTGTTGTTACTTAAAAAAAAACTCAATAAAAACAAACCTTTTTATTTTCATTCATATAAATCGCCATCAAATGAAATGTTGTCATCATCATAATAATAATAATAATAACGTTTCTAATGGTTAAAAAGAAAAAAAAAAAAAAAATACCTAAATACGAAATGACACGAATCAGTGATATATAAAAAAAATGACAATTAACGATAGCGATCAATAACCAATGAATGAATAATAGGTGTGTATGTGTGCGTGACATTTATCGTCAATACACCTATAATATAGACGTTAAATGAACAACAACAACAACAACAACAACAAAAAATCCTGTTGGCATGGAAAAAATAATAATGATGATGATGAAAACGAAAAGTAAAATTCAATAGAATTTGCAGACACATGCATGCATTTTATACTGTGTGGGGGGAGAGGAAAAAGGAGAAAGAAAATAAAATAAAAAAAAATATAAAATAGAAACAAAAATATACCGAGAGCACACAAACCTAGAAGACAAAGACAGACAAAATTTTTTTTTGATGAAATAACAAAAAAACATGATGATTTTTAGAAAGAATAAATTGACAACAGAATTGATCGATCGATCACCAACAAAATTGTGAAACAAATTTCGATTTTTTTCTGAATGCTACACAATGAATGAATTTGATGGATTGACATATATGACATTATGATATTCCGGTATATTACACTACTGTACAGTCTACTATTAAGTATATAAAATGGTGAAGACAATGAACTTATTTGCACAAAAACAATAACTACAATACAAAAAGATTGCCTGTTGAGAAGAAAGAAAAAACCAAAAAACCAAAAAAAAAAAATTGACATTTCCATCAACAGGCATCACCATTATTATTTATTATTAAAGATTATGGATCAAAAGTCGGCAACATTTTTTTTCTTTGGTGACAACAATTAATATTTTAGCCATTTTTATTTCATTTCATGTTACCATCACCATATAGCATTCGATCGGTCATATCCGCATCTGTAAATGTATGATAACCAGTGGATATTAAAGAAAAATTTTCTGTTTAAATTCATGGAAAATTATGTATGATTATATTGAATTAATATCGTTTGGTTTGTTTACATAACAGGACATACTTTGACCATCAACACACACATACACACACAGCCTGAAAAAAACATAGGACAAATATAGACATCTTAATAAAGAATGATGATGATAATAATATTCAGGGATATTTATCAATTTGTATGATACAAGCAATCTTTAAGTGATACTTTCTGTGTTGTTTGACATGGTTGACATCTGTAAAAAAAACTGTCAGTTTTATGCATAGAAAAAAATATAGCGTAGCCATATTTCATTCAGAGAAAGAGATAGAATGAACAAAAAATTCATATATTTCGATACCAGGATACAGATATATTTTTAATCCAAATGAATTTTGACACACAAGCATCAAAAATGGCATCGGTTGGAAGAAGGAAAAAACCCAAAAACGTTCATTATACGCACACAGACAAACACACATAACAACAACGAGAGGGTGGTAAAATGTTGGGATACGATTGATGTTTTGGGGTGTTCCATTTTCCAATTAGATACGGTTGTTGTTGTTGTTGTTGTCGTCGTCGTCGTCGTTAAACTGACAAGAATTTTTCTCCTCATTCATGAGGCTCTGTGGTTGTGACATAGATGACAATAATTTTTGGTTTTAGATATCATACGTTTAGCGATTATGAACAATCATGAATCATCCGAAATAAAGTTTTCAGAGAGAAACCAATTTTTCACACACACACACACACACACACAGGACAAACACACATTTTCAATCATTTGAACAGCACACAGCACCAGAACCGATCCAAATTAATGAATGATCCTAATTTTAGTAATATGCTGGTAGTAGTCATTCTGGTGTTGTTGTCAATGCACCATCGAGCAAACACAAACCATCATAAGAATTGAAAATTTACATTCAAAGTTACAACAATAACGATGATGATGACAACAACCAAACAAAACCTAATCAAACAAAAACACCATATGACCGTAACTAATAAATGACATAAACTATAAACTACATAATATAGCAGTGGGAAAAAAAAAAAAAAAAATCTCAACAAAAATTAAATTAAATATCATTCGACCTTAACGATGAAGACGAGGAATAACATTTGTAAACGTACCATTAATGGTGAATGATAAATGAACGAATGAATGAATGAATGGATGGATTTAATTCAATTGAATCGTGAATTAAAAAAACGTTATTAAATACTTACATACAGAATATTAAACACTTGGTTACCATATTCTTGCATCATCATTAACAACAACAACAATGGATCGAAATTCATTTTGGAAACCATCAAAAAATATGACTAACAGCAACAATTGTAGTAAATATCAATGACGTATTTGAATATACACACCCACCCACCAGTGAGCCATGAATAAAATGATATTTATAAGATGAGATTCTGGCACACAAAAACATGGCATATTCGCCTACACAAAACATTATTATTACTGTTTTTCTTTGTTTCTGATGCTATATCAGTGTTCGTCATCATCATCATAGAGATTTAAATTATATGATAAAATGTACAAAAACAAAGTTTGAGAATAAACGAAAAAGAATTCATTACCCTTACACGATCAAATGGTGAATAAAAGATAAAAACAAAAAAATTAAACGATAGTACGGCTAGCTATATGGTTGAATGGAACAACAAATATACAAATAACAATCACTACCACCGAATACGAATTACGATAATAGCTTTTCATTAACCCGTTTCATAATCATCATCAACAACATAATCATTATATTGTCTGTTTTCAATTTTGAAAATGAGAAATTAGAAAAAAAATTCTCATCGATGTTCATTATCATCATCATCGTCATTCATTATTATTATTGTTTAAACATTCACATTCACATTGCCTAATGTGATTGTAATAATCCTTTTTTTTCAGCTTTTGCTGCCGTTGCTCTAACAATTTATTCATTCATAGCAATGAAGAGCGAAAAAAGTCATTTACTTTTGTATAAGTCAAGAATATTGACATAAGAATGATGATGAATCAAAAAAAAAAATCATTTCACATTGTCTGTCACAAAAAATTTTGTATGTTTGTTTGTCGTTGTCATCATCATCATCATCATCATTATTAATCATCAAACGTTGATGGATAATATTATCATCATCAACATCATTTAAAATAGAATTGCAACAAATGAAACGACAATCATCATCATCATCGACAATGATTGTGTTGATGATGATGATGATGATGGTGGCATCAAAAATAAAAAGTAACAAACAGAATAATATTTTAAAAAATGTATGAATGAATATTAAGTAAACATTGAAAAGACATCGACCGGAATATAGAAGAAATAAAGAAATAGATAGAGAAATCTATGAAGGCCATGATTTTATTGTAAAGATGCCTACTATCATCATCATCATCATCAGTAGTAGTAAAATATTACAATGTCAATTCATTATATGTGTGTATTTATTACAAACACTTGCACACACATGCAATATTTATTTTTTTTTGTATGATAATCTAAAAAAAATTGACAACCGACAAATGCAGACAGACAAAATAAAAAATAATTTTTTTTTTTAAATTTAAAATTATTCATCACACCTGAATGATCGACAATGATGATGATGATGATATCAATGGTATTCATTCATTCATTCATCTAGCAAATCATCAAATCGATCGAACCCAAACAACAACAACAAAAGGATTATTCAATATTAAGTAAAGAATTTTTTTCCTGTTCTTCTACAAATTGAATTTTCTACATAATATCTTTAATGTTTGTTTGATCAAAAATCAAAATCAAAAGGAAAAAAAATTACACAAGTTTTACCTGAAAAAAGGTGGTACTACACACAGAATTGTTGTACCTGTTGTTTAACGAAAAAAAAATCACTAAACGTCGAAAAATGATGATCATCGAAACTGGTTTTTAGTAATAAGAAAAAATAAAATAAAAATCCAGAAACTAACCATACCACCTTCATCATCATCATCTTCATTGTCGAACTATGCGTGGTGGTCGTCAAACGAATGAATGGAAAAAAGGCCATGTGGAAAGAAACGAAAACATCAACAAGCTCTTAAATCAAAAGAAGAATGATGATCGAAAAATAATATAAAAAAGATTTAACAGGCAATCAAAAACACAATGGATTTGTTTTTTTCTTTATTTTTGGTTGTAGATCAAAACACCGAAAACAAAAACCACGAAAAACAAAAATCCCGAAAACAAAAATGTAGAAAATGGCTTGTTCCCTTAATTATATTCGAACAAACTGAATGAAGTCAAAGATAATATAAATAAGTGTAATAAGTGATCACGTTTCATATTTGGGTCATATCATCATTCATTGATCATGAATTGCCTTGAATTATAAACAGTAAATCAAAAAAAAAAAACTAAAATCCAAAAAAAATAAGCAAACAACATGCAATCAATCAAAGGAAATAATATTGGATCCAAACTATTATGAGTAGTTTTTTTCTGCCACCACAAGAGCAAATATTACTAAAGGCAAAATCAAACATTTCATTTATGATGATCAATGATTTTTTTTTCTCAAATATAAAATAAAATTACCCTCAATTGAATCGTTGCAGTTTAATAGAAAAAAAATGGTGTTAGCAATATGATGATGTGTGATATAATAATCATCATCATCATCAAATTGAAATGCAAAGGCAACAACAACAGCCATAATATTGATGCTGTGACCAAGGGCAACAATCTATAAATCAAACAAAACATACACAAGGCAATCATTAATGAAAAGAAAAACAAAATTTGTAACCGAAAATTTGGATTATTTGGTACCAAAAAAAAAAAAAAATATTTATACTCTAAAGCTATATGCAATTATTACACAAACACAAACATCCCCACATATATTCATAATAGTTGAACAAAATTAAATTCAGAATAACCACAACAATTTTTTTTTGTTATGTTTTCATGTTTTTCATAACCAAACATTAGTTTAATAATATCTGTTGATATGTGGTCTGGAAATGTCAGTGGAAACATTCATATTCTCAATCCAATTCAAATTTCAACATTCTATTGAAAAAATAAAAATTTATTTAATGTGCATGCACGCATGTGTAAAAAGATTGTATTTATAAAAAAAAAAAATTTTCTTTTGATTTTGTTATGTTAACAATCGATCACAAATCACCGATCAATAATCTTGTTACAAATTGATCAATTGGATACACACACTCGCACACATTGTTCATTCAATAATTGATCAATTTCCGATCGATCAACATCATCCATACACATATGGTGATGTTGAAAAAAAAATTTAAAATAAATATTTGTTTTAATTGAACAATTTCTCTTTTTTCAATTCCATTTCATTGTTGATTCTGTTCAAAAATGAAATGAAATGGCAAAGTTGAAATTTTCATTTTCAGTACAATTGTACTTGTTGTTGTCGACAAACTTTGTCGATGTTTGAACTAAACTACTGACATGATCGATCTTGTTAACCAAAACAATTAGAATAAATCGAATCGAAAAAATCAAAAAAAAAAAAAAAAATATACAATGGATAAACAAAATATTTACGGGAAAACAGACGATTATCAAAATAATCGAGTTATCAGAAAAGGTCATCCAAATGACCAAGCAAACAAACCAAAAAAAAAATTCTGATATCTAAAAACCTTTTGAATGGGCAATCAAGATAAACAAATGATTTTTTCCTTCTTTCACATTATTCATCAAAATGGCCATGATTTATGACAATTTCACATCAATCAGTTTTCTCACTCAAAAATGATGCTAATAATGATGATAAAAAAAACCATCGATCAATCCATCATCATTGTCATTAATTGTCATTAACATTTCAAATTAAAAAAAAAAATGATAGGATATTCTCACTATAGACCTAAAAATGATTTCATGGTCATTTTTTTCATTCATAAAATTTTTCGCATTAAAAACTAGTTTTTTAAAAACTTCTTTTCAAAAAAAAACAAAATATTCAAATTATCAGTAAAAAAAATGATCTTCAAAAAGAACAACATGGGTAAAGAAAGCGATAAAGAAAGAATGAAAAAAAACTTAAAATTTTCTTCACATTCAAAGTTGGATAGTATAATTTCTGAAGAAAATTCGGAATTTTTTTTCTTTCTTCTTTACCCAATATATATCATATATATGATGATGACCTATATTGACCGATGAACTTTCGAAACACCGTAAATCGGATAGAGAGAGAGAGAGAGAGAGAGAGATAGCGGGAAAAAAATAAATGACCACATTCATATATTATATGATAATGATAATCAAACAGACGAACCAATGAACCAAGAAACAAAAGAATAATGCTTTATTATCATCATTATCATTATGGATATGGCGCCATCATAATCATCAAAAATGGCTAGGTTCTATCACTTACACACTTATGCACAATAACCGGTATTATGGTAATAATAATTGGGATGATTTGATCCGGTGTGTGTATGTTATATAACTTTAACAACATCTATGGTAACACAACAAACTATAATATTCTTTTTCATACACCTTGAAAAATAAAATTTTTATCCCGACAGATACATCCATAAATCATCATGTAGAAAAGATTGATGAAGATTAATCCGAATATATAAAGAAAAACCAATTTATGACAAACCGAAAATTCAAAACACATAAAATAATAAAATAAAAAAAAGGATTGTCATCATCATATTTTCCACATACCGGAAATACAGCGTGGGTATGGTTCTGAATATACAAATACAGATAAAAAAAAGGTGAAAATAATAATAATAAAACTCAATCAATTCCTTGTTATTGAAGGTTATTGAAGAAAAAAAAATTCAATAAAGCAAGTTAATTTTTGACCTCGAAAAAACGATGATGATTCGTGACGAATTATTTCACGAAGTAACGAACAAAATCATGCATTCCAACATTCAATTTTAGGTTTTTTTTTGCGAAAAGAATAGATATAAAATGATCGGTGATCATGTGTATAGATAGAAGCGTAACTATTATATCAACAAGTGTTCATAAACTATCAATAATGATGACCGTGATGTTCGAATAAATCGAAAAAATACTGACTATTTTGACTTTCTTCTGTATAAAAACATTCGAAAATTCGATTCTATGTCCACAATATTCGAATTATATTATATTCGACATTATAATTATTATTATTGGATTGGATTGGATTTAATCAATTATATTTTGCAAAGAAAAAAATGATAATGATGACTGACAACCCGATATTTGAATCACAATCACATACATACACTTACCAAATATATGTAAGAATTGAATTTAAATGAATTTAAAAATGATGATTATTAAAGACTAGCTGTCATAAATATATATATGATGATGAACGAATGATGGACACCCACATTGAATTCAAAATAAGAATGAGTGAATTGATCGAATCACTATACTTTAATCAATACTTTGATATCAGGTACTATTTGTTCTATAGTGAATTCCAATCAATCAATCAAACATTGAAAAATAGAGGAAAAAAAATTGAAGAAAACTTGTTTCATTCAAAATCTTCAAAAAAAAATCGATCAATCAATCAAATAATGATCATCAAAATGAACTGAATGAAAACAAAAAACAAAACAAACAAAATTAAAATCAATAAAAAAACGGGTCATCATGATTTTTTTTTATTCGGGTAGAGAGACAAAAAAAATGAAAAAGAAACCGCAATTTTATTTCGGGCGGTGTCCGAATATAATAATAACTGTTGAAATGAAATGCAGGAACACTTTTTTTAGAAATTCGAATTCATTTTCAATCATCATCATCATTATCAATTGTCCAATGTTGTGTGTTGTTGTTGATATAAATAATAAACACTTAATAAACAAACATACCAGGTGTATTTTCAATTTACAACATTCAGGTGAAATTGATGGCAATGTTCTTCAATGAGTCAATCTTTGTTGAGTTGTTATCGTTGTCGAAGAATTTTTTCTTTTAAATTTTTTTCTACTTTTTGGAACAGCTGTAAATATTTTGAGCGATGGTCAATGGATTTTTTTTCAAACACAAAATTGCCACTAAAGATATTGTTGACCGTTGTTAAACGTGGTCAAACATTCGATGAAATCAAATGGTCAAGATCGACCGTTTTCATTTATAATAAACAAAAAATATAGAGCACAAAAAAAATTTTTCAATAGAAACCATTCAGCAGCTGCTTCGGTAATATGGAAAAAATGTACCACTTACCAAATCACACACAGTGCCGATCATCAAATGTTTTATTCTCGTTGTTGTTGTCGGTTCACTTCGGTTCGGTATATATGGTGGATTCAAAAACAGAAAGAAAATCTCTTTCGAGTTATTGCTTAGAGCTAGGTCATCTTCATCAAGTGTGTTATATACAGTGAACTTTTTTGTTCAATACAAAAAAAACGAGAAAATATATCAAACTGTGGTATCATCGGTTAGTAGTTGGTGGGTATTATCGGGATTCGAATTTTTTCAATGCACACACACACACTGAATTCAATTGTTCAATGAAATGACTAAGGGCGGCAAACTGGATTGTGCTGTGACTGACAGGACCAAAAAAAAAAAAAATGAAAGAAATTATAAATTGCTGGCTACAAATCGCTGTAGAAGTAGTAGCTATTTACGATACATAACAGATATATGGATTCTACTACTAGCACATCTGATAGGATCCTTTAAGTGATCTTCTTTTTTTTCTGACGGATATTGAATTGTATCGAAAGATGCAAAAAAGCAGAAGCATTCTATTCAAGTATTTTTTCCATCAATTGTAGCTGTTGTTGTTGTTGTTGTTGTTGAGGTATCCATCAACACACACCTTCATTGGATTTTGGCTACACCTTTCTATTTAAATAAAAATGAAAATAAGCGCTTGCGCAAATCAAAATTATATCCAACACCCTTAATGAAAAAAAGTGTTTGGATATCCACCCTTGTTGTTGTTGTTGTTGTTGTTGTGATGTTATGATATTGATGTTGATGTTTGAATTTCGAATATATTGTTAATGATGTTCTAATCGAATTTTATTTGATATGAGTCATCATTATGATATCATACCATCATGAATGATGCAAATAATTCGATGTGTAGTGGATGCCTCGAGAAAAAACCACATTTCACAATTTAAGAAATGATGTTTTTTTTTGTCAATTGCATCAGTTTTTATGTTCATATATGAATCAACAATAAGAGAAAAAGAGAGAGTTTCCGGTTGCCAATTGCTTCGAAATTATCTCACATACAAATAATCCAATGGATGACATGAGAAATTAAAGGAAAAAAAAATTTGGCAGCAGCTATATCTCATTTCAATCAATCGTTGATAATCGCTTACTAACCTAAATATTATATTCCTAAGAAAGATATGATAATCAAAGACAATCAATGAGTCATCCATTTTGAATTTGAATTTAAATAATTACTATTGGCAACGAAAATCTCGATACTGATACTAACGGATTAATGCCAATCCGATTAATTCCGATGTTTAATAAATAAAAAAAATAGATTAATTAATCAGCTTATCAGCTTATATTATCCAAAAATGATTATCAAAATCGAATCCACCAGAAAAAATAGATTACAGATGATCATTGTTAGCCGTTTTTGTAAAGAAACAAAAAACAAACAATTTTATCGATTGAAGAATTGCGAACAAATTGTCAAATTAAATTGAAATTTTTATTTTTATTTTTCATGAAACAAATATTCAGTATAATATTTAAGAAATAATTTAATCGTTTTTTGTTTTGTTTTCATTTTGTCGATTCATCAAATCAATAATATTTTGATTGGTTATCATTGATTGGTACACGTGTGGTTGTGCCAGTGAATTGTCGGTAATTTCAATCGAAAAAAAATTGAATTCCATTTTCGCTTGACTTATTTGAAATATTTCGAAGACGTTGATCGATAAAACACACACACACAAACATGGTGGCAATGTTAATGAGAAAAAAACGGTAATAGTGATGATGAAATGGAGAAAAAAAATTAATCATTTTGCCAAATGATCATCATTATGATCTTTCAAAGAAAATAAAAGGTTGAAGAAAAAAATTAATTACAAAAAAAAAAAAAATCAAAATCGAAACAACAACAACTTGTTAACATTTATCGTTTTCGTGAATGAATTTTTCATTCATTCCATAAATCATCGTGATGATTTTGAATGATTAATCAACCATTGTAAAGTGATATCTAAAAAAGGAATATCCAAAAAAATCATTGATTATCAATACCGTATCAACATTATTTGTTTCTTACCGATATTAGTTTTATCTTTACAGGATATTGAATAGCAACAAATTTCACGATCTGGAATCGATCCTAAATCCCTGTGCGTTTTGTAAAAACAAAAAAAAATAATGAAATTCTATCACAATTTTATTTTATAATAAAACATACATTTGATCAATCAATTGTTTTTCATCCAATGCTCCAGATAAATCTTTTTTATTGCCAAGTACTAATACGGGTATACCTTCTAATTGTGGTTTAGATAATAATCCATGTAGTTCAGTTTTTGATGCATCAATTTTACTATGATCAGCTGCATCAACCATATAGCTTTTATAGATTTTGAAGAAAAAAAGTTACAGAAAATTATCATTGAATTACAATCGAATTTATAACATTGTAAACATCTTACATGATTGCTTGTACACCACGACAATATTTTTCCCACATTGAACGAAATCTTGGCTGTCCACCTATATCCCAGATTTTAATCGAAACATTTCCTTTCGTCACTTTTCTCATATTGAACCCAACCGTTGGTATCATATCTTCAGAAAATTGACCAGTCTAACAACAAATTGAATACAAAAAAAAATTGAAAGAAAAACAATTAATAATTCTTATAAAATTTCAGAAAATATAAACATACAGCAATTACACTGACAAATGTTGATTTGCCCGAATACTGTAGGCCGACTAGTGTTAATTCAAGCTCTTCCTTCCAGAAAAGGCTTCGTAGCCAATCTAAAAAACGTTGAAATATGGCAAACATGTTTTTCTTGTTGTTAACGGTGAACGATGATGATGATGTTTTTGTTTATTTCTGAAATTTTTTAAGATTTTAAAATTTTATGATTTACAAACACGAATTTGTGCACATCAATTCAATTATTGCTGATAACAATAACAACAACAAAGAAAAATTATGAGCTAGAATGAAAATGAAGATTATTAGATTCAAGTGGGCAAAACAATAACAACAACAACAATCACTTACCCGGAGAGAGAAAGAGAATAATCACAGAGAATCTAATGGAACGTTTATCGGAATCGTGAATCGGTTTACGAACAAACGGATTAAACAAATGGGTGTGTGTGTTATTTAAACGATAATAATTTTTTTAATCCGTTAATTTAGAAATTGTTTGTTTGTTTGTTGTTTGTGTGCAGAATATGCTACTACCACCCAAATGAAATACAAGAATCAATTAAAAAAACAAAAATTTGTAAATAAATTATGTTACTGAAACACTTCAAATAAAATAAATTTCAAGATCATTGAACATTAAATAAAAAATGGCAAACATCTGTCAATCTCTCGTTGTTTATTTTATCCTTTTAACATTCCATTGGTAAAGAAAGCCAAAGAAAAAAAATGAGAGACCGAAAGAAAAAAAAACCCACCTATGAAAATGACGTTCACATATGACGATACGGATTTTATTTCTCTCACTTTTTCAAATATTACAACTAGTTTTTTTTCGAATAATTCCCCCTTAATTTTTTGTGTTTTTCTACAATTTCTCTCAAGATGTTGTTGATGATCATCAACAACACAAAAACAGACAAATTGACAATGATTATTATTATTGGTTTCACCGCATTGTACTCATCGTTGTATTTTTGTCCTATTTATTGTCTTGTCTTTGTTAATTCGACAAATAAAAAAACAACCACCTTGCATTTATCATTCCTTTGAAGATATTTTCTTTCATTAGTCGAATGTCAATGAATCGAAGAAAAAAAAGGTAAGAAATATTCAAAAATATTTTACTCGATTTCCATTTGATTTTGTAATCATAACTTTATATATTTCAATGACATTTGACACATTGACATCAATTGTGACATACATGTCGTTTGGTTATGTGTAACAAACTAAATTGATTCGGCCAAACCTTTTATTTCGGATTTCTTTGTAAATATCAATGATATTCATATTATATGAATGGCCGATTGATTGATTGATGAGTACACGCAACCTTGATTTCAATTATAGAATTCAATAATATTTTGAAAAAAATTTTCGTTTTTTTTTGTTCCGTCTGGTGTCGCCGCCTGGTGATGCTTGTGGAAACATTTATTTCATTCGAAAAAAATGTTCTTTTTTTTGTCAATTTCTTTTAATCATTTTTCCACACACACACACACATTAACCTTTAATTGGATACACACATGATTTTGATTGATTTTATTTTCGTAATGAAGATCTTTATTTCAACATTCAAAGATTCAGATTTAAATTCAATCAATCAATGATGATCATCATCATCATTCTCGTTCGTTCGTTTGATCGATTAATGGTGGCTATTCACATTCATGATCAATCGAAAAGCAGATGTTATTTTTTTAATATTTCTATTAGCTAATGATGTTCCATGAAAATGTGTTTTATAAATTATCCTCCAATCATTTAGCATCAAGTATCATTGACCTTTGATCTCTATTTCTGTTTCTCTCTAATTCTATTGTCGTCAAAATTTTTTTTTGTTTCATTTTTATTTTCGTGTCCAAATCCATATGCCCTCTCTACACATGAATTAATAAATGAGTATGATTGTCGTTCATTTTTTTCCACAAAGAAAAATATGATTATATCATCATGATCATGATAATGGATGGATCTCATATTCGAGGTTTGTAAAATGTTGAACAAATGTTGAAAATATTATTTTTTCCGTTTGTTTGTTTGTTTGTCTGTTCAATATCAAATCGGTATATATAAAATTTATTTTCTTTCTCTCCCCACCATTGTAAACATTAACTCAGGTGTATGCCTGTTCTGTTCGTTAATGGGAATGAAAAAAAAATTCACGGAAATCATATCACCCACTAATGTGGATGATGATGAACTTCCATTATTATAATATGACCGAACGAACAAACAAAATAATTTTAATGTCGTCATCATTAATATGTCACCCATCCGAAGGGGTAATAATAGTTTTCTTTTCCAAATTCTTGAATTCAAATTCAAATCATCAAGGTGTATTAAACGCCATAATATACCTAAATGTATTTACCACCAACCATGGTAACCAACTATTTTTTCGTATGTCGTTTTTTATTCTTCCAAATATATTCTGTCACTAATGGATGACATACACACACACACAGGAACCATTTATGGTTATTAGATCTTTGCAACAAAAAAAAAAAAAAAATACCGTTACAACAAAAAAAACGAAAAGGACAACACACCCAAATTCTGTATAAAGTTCAACGAATTATCAATTAGTTGATGATTGGCAAAGTTCACGATGGAACATAATGGAGGATAATGGGATTTTTATTTTATGGGCTATTGCCCTTTGAATGGAACAAAATCGAAATTTTCTTTTCCATATTTTCTTCCTTGATTTTTTTTTTCGTTCATTTCGTTTGTTTTTATTTCCAAACATTACCAAAAATGGATATTTGCTGGTAGGAGGTGGCAATTAATAATTATCATCACAAAATATTATGAATAAACTAAATATATCAACTAAGAAAAACAATTCGATAACGATTAAGATTTATTTGGAAAGTATTTTTGCTCCCGGAACTACCCAAAGAAAAAAAAACGATGATGATGGCAATATAATCATCAGCACATCAAAATTAATATAATTTCCTGGTTTTGTTTTGCTACGGCTGCTGTTTTTATTGTTATCATCGCCATCAACATCATTTTTATATCTAGCAAAAAATTTTTCAGTAAAAAAAAATCGTTTTCATTTTGTTTCTGGTCATTTCTATTTGATTTGGTACAAAATTGAATTTCTTTTTTTTTGTGAAAATTCATTTGACAATTCTCTCTATCCCCGGTTGATAATAATGTAGTAGTAGTAGTAGGTTATAGGGAGTGGTTGAAGTTGTGGTGGTGGTGGTTGTAATGAGAAGATATGATAAAGGAAGGGGAATCCAAGTTTTTAGGTCGAAGCTTGTCTCTAAATAAGAAAAAAAACTGGTTGATCGGTCGGTCGCTTGGTTCATATGGCGCCAACTGTATATATCTTGATTTTTCAAATGCGACGGCGCCCATCATCATCATCATCATCATCATCATCTTTATTGTTGCCGTTGTGTGTGTGATATATAATGCTGAATAGCGGGGAATTCATTCATTCATTCGTGGTTTTCGTTGTTTCCCCGATTTTTCTTTTCGTTTCTACTGGTTATTCACACCCAGAAGTCAAAAAAAAAAATTATTTAGGTTCAATAACCGTTGTATGAATGATGATTTCCTATCGTTTCTTTTTTTCCTTTATCATCATCATTATTATTATTATTTTCAATTCATTATTATATCAAATATAAAAAATTCTCAATTCATATTTCAATGGCTATCATTTAAAGAATTCATTCTTCCCCTAATTGTTTGCATTCGTATTATCTAAAATTTACAATACTAGATTGTGAATGTTCAATTTTATTTTAACATCGTATCATTTTAATGGAATTTTCTTGTATTTTTACAACGACAACAACAAAAAATGTATAGGAGTTCATTGATTCTTTACAAAACAAAACAAAATTCCAAATCATCTTACATTTTGTGTTGGAAATTGGTTTCATTACGCGAATTCTTTCATTTTTACAAAGATATTTCAAAAAAAATGTCCGTTGCAATCGAATTGGTCAAGAACATATATAATTATAATAATGTTTTTGATGATAATAATGTAGGCGTTGAATACATTATAATATTCCTACATCGATTAAGGCCAATAACCTATGTAATGTTGGGTTAGTGTTTGACGTTTAAATTCAGAATTCAAGTGTTTTGAATTTATTGTTTTTTTCCCTTCTGTTGTCCATATCCATAAGAATAATTTTTTGTGTGTTTTTTTCTGTTTGTCAATTTTAACTAAATGTTATCGGATATATGTTTTTGAAAGAATTCTGAATTCTTCAAAATTCTATGATCAAAAGGATTGATTTGTTTTCTTGCTTTTTTCAATTTTTTCATTCATAGGCTATACATTAATGATGGTGATGGTAAAAAACATTCAAATCCATCATCACCGAATCAAAGAACGACGACGACAACAACAACGAAATTATCATTGACTGAATGTACAATATTTTTGGGATTATTATACTTTATACAAGGATTTCCATATGGATTTCAAGATAAACTGATACCATTATTATTAATAATCAAAGGCCATTCACCATCGACAATTGGTTTCATACGGTTATTATTATTACCATGGCTAATGAAACCATTGTTTGCACCATTGATCGATATGGTATATATTACATAATTCATGAATTGAAATATAATAATTATATAATTTTGAATGAATAAATAGACAAATTCAGGGTTTGGTTGATGTTTACGTGAACGTGCGTAGGTAAAATCGAGAGAGACAGAAACAGAGAGAGAGAGAGAGAGAGAGAGAGAGAGAGAGAGAGAGAGAGAGAGAGAGAGAGAGAGAGAGAGAGAGAGAGAGAGAGAGAGAAAGATACATTCATTTTTTTGCTATTTAAATTGAATCAAAAAAATGATGCTAAATTTAGCCATATTATTATGAAATTCTGTATGTTTGTTTTCAATTATACCCTGTGATTTATTTTCAATTTTTATGCATGATAAGGTCAATGTTTTCTATTTACATTTGATTTTTTTTTGAATTTCAATTTTTAAAATTTCTATGAGAATTTTTTTTAATCAATTTTTTAATTTGATTTGATTTTTTTCGTAAATTCCTCGATTATCAAACAAGACATTGACCACGACCAAATGGATTACAGTGAGTTTATTGGGTTTAATTATCATTTCATCATATAATACAATATGGCCCGATACAACGGTCAATGATGATAGTATCGATGAAATTACTTGGCAATTTATTGCAGCATTATTTTTATTGAATTTTTTTTCTGCATTTCAGGTTTGTTAAAAATCATATATTTAAATTGGAATAAAATTTTAGTAATTTCCAAAAATTAAGGATATTGCTGTCGATGCTATAGCCGTTACAATCTATTCAAATCATCGCGGCATAATGGCTGGTAATGCTGGCCAAATTGTTGGCTATAAATTAGGTGCATTTTTCGGTAGCGGTATTCTATTCTGGATATATAACATATTCAATTGGAATGGATTATTCGCTACGCTTACAATGATTTATTCGATTGTACTATTTATATTTCATAAATATTCAAAAAATTTATCAATAATCGATAATAATAATATCAATCAAAATGATCAATTGACAACAACAACGATGAATCCATTGCAGTCAAAACAACAACAAAAATCGCCAACAAAATTTCGATATCGATTCAATGAATCATCATCAAATGATCGGCTACAATCTTCTGAAAGACTCAATCATGACAATTGTCAACAATATCAAATGCCACAAATAACCACATTGATTAGGGTCTATATATTTATATTTGTCTATAAATTAGGTGAATCTGGATCGATGACAATATATCCAATATTTTTTGCAAAATTTATTGGTATATCAAGTCAATCATTAGCATTTTGGAATGGTACGATCGGTATATTATGTTCTATATTTGGATCATTGTTGGCATCAAAATTATCCATATCATTGTAAGTATACTACACATACACATCAAAACCAAAACAAAAAAAAATATGAAAAAATTTCAAAATCTATTCAACCAAAACGTAACGATTATTAATATAATATTTTTTTCGGGTTCACCAAACCAGAAAAACATACTTTTTTGTGTGTGTGTGTGTATTGTGTTGAGTGTTTGTGAAATCAAACAAACAAACAAACAAATCAATTTGCCATTAAAAAACATACATCGGCAAAAAAAATATATAGATCAAATAACAAAAATGGTAAAAATTATGGAAAATTATTTTTTCCGAATCTAAACCAACCAGAACAAAATATAAACACACACACACACACACACACACTTTTATATTGATAATCTTTAAAACTATAGAAGAAAAATGATCTATAAATGTAAGCCCAAACCACAACACTAAAAATCGAACTAGATTCGAAAATACTCGATGAAAATTTATCTAATCCAACAAGAACAACAACAACAACAACAGCAACAAAAAGAAAATTTTACTTTACTTTTTTTAATCATTCTTTCTAATTTTACTGTTTTTTCTCTTCTCTCATTCATCAATTCTATCATCATCATCGTCATCATCAAATCCATCAATCAAAAAAAAACAAGGCTAAATAAATTGATCAAATTACGGTTATTGCCCTTATGTTTAAAATTGATTATAATTATTATTGTTACTATTAATCATAATCATGGTTTTATCGAATTTTCAACATCATCATCTTCATTATTTTATTGTAAGTATCATATTGATTTTTGTATTTGTCATCATCATTTGGTTTGGATCATCATTCAAATATTTATTGATTGATACCAATGATGATGATGATGGTGATGACAAATCAAATAACACAAAAAATGTTTGTTATCACAAAATTGATACGGTTGTTTAGGTATATTTTCTTGACATACATACATATTTTTTTACCGATATATTTGTTTAGATAGATTAGATGGAAAGATTATCTTGTATGATTTAGATTTTGATTGATTGATTGATTGGATCATTTTTTCAAAGAAATGAATAGAGAGAAAGAGAAAAAACTTTAAACATTTGTGTTTCATCCGGTTTATAATAGATTATGAAATACTCAAACATTTACGATTACAATTTTTTTTCGTCTATTTATTTATTTTGATTGATCCAAATTCAAAATTTAAACCATTCTCATTGTAATTGTTTTATTGATTTTTTTTATTGTAACCATTTTTTCTTTTTTTTACAGATATAAGCATTATATCATTGTTAATGATACATTTTATCGGTGGCATAATCACAACCATGACCTTCACCTTGATGATGATGACTTGTCAACAACAACAAATGTCACGAAAATCATTACGTGTAACACAATATACAATAATGTCAACAATTGAAGTATTTGGTAAACTTTTATTATCATCATTATCCGGTTTGATTGTCGATACTATTGGTTTTATTGGCGCACAATTCATATTCATCATTTTGGCTATTCTACCATGTACAGTTCTATCATCATCATTGTCATTATGATGAAACATTATGTGGCAAACAAAAATGAACCATTGTCATTAACTTGCAATCATCATTGAGAGAATATATTTGTTCGACAAACGAAAAAAAAATCATTCCAAATATGTTTCAATCTATCTGTCGATAATTCGTTTAAAAGTTTTGACATTTTGTGTTTGTTATTGACTTTGTCACATTTTATCAATGTAGAAAATCTTGTGAAATTAATGAAAACCAAAAAATTTCACACATTAAATTATTTGACATTTAACGGTTTCCATTTCTACAATTTCATTCAATCACTTTTTTATTTTATTGATTAAAAAATTATATTTATTAATTGTTGATAAGAATATTCTAGATTTGAATTCTGGTTTTTTTGTAAAACCATAGAAAAAGAAATGTTTGTCTGATTTTTTCGTTTTTTTTGTCGATATCTGTCAGTTTGGCTGTTTACATTGGATGATTATGACGACTGTCGATGACGACAACACAATGAAATGAATGTACACGATAGGTAGGCCAAATAGATAAATGATTTCTTTCCTTTTCTTTTCAATAGGTCAATCATTACTTGATACATTGCTCATTATATAATGATGATGATGATGATGATTAATATGATTATAATTTTGAAACGCTAATTATCATCACAATTATCTCATTGTTTTTTGTTTTTTTTTCAACAAAATGTTTCCTATTACTAAATACTTTGTATTTGTCTATCTGTTTCATTTGTTCCACATATTTTATTGTTTCATACAGCTTTCTTTCTGAAATTAAATTTTCGATTTCATTAAAAATCATTTCTTGATTATAATTGTTGCTACTTTGGATAATGACATTTCAATAGCCGACAGGAAGAATATTTTTTTCCGTTATACTGACATTTGATCATTCAATAGTGATTCCGGGAAATTATCAAAAAAAAAAACAAAAAAACAAAACAATACGCAAAAGAAAATTCCATGGAAAAAAAATTGTAACCAGATGCTGTTGTTTGTCGCCGATTCAAGATTGAAATGGTGGTAATCAAGATGCTCATGTGATAAAGTTTTCGTTCCAATATTGTTGATGTTTCCATCATCATCATCATCAACAACAGCAACAACAACAACAACATTGGAATGAAAAATACATGGAATCAAAAACAAGTTGTTTGTTTTTTTTCTCATTCATCAAATATTGACTAACTAATTCATTTTTGCATTCGGATATTCTTTACTCAAATGTTACTGATGCTTTTTGTTTACTCAACTCTTTTTTTATTCTACATATTATATTCTTATCAACAACAACAATCATGAGACAAAAAATTTTGCATCCGTTCAATTGAAGATCGATTGTTGATACAATCGATATCAGGACAATCCTAATCAAATTCATTCCTAAATTCTGAGAAAAAAATTATCGTAAAGTATCGATTGTATGGAACTTATGGAACTGTTATGTTATATAGTGATGTTTATCGGCAAAAAAAAAATGATGTCAACACGTATGGCTGGATGGAAATTTTGTTTTTCTTCTCATTTGATACATGAGGGAATACTATGGATCAAAAGTATATTCAAAATTTGATGAATGGTGGTGGTTGGTTATATCTGAAACAACAATGACGACGACAACGAAACAAAACAAAAATCCCACACACATACACACAAACACGAAATTATGTTTTGAATATATTTACCACGAATCTATTAATCTTGTTCATAATATTCAACATATAAACTTTTCTCTAGTGAATAACGGTGAATATCCGTCAAAGTTGTTTTTTTTCGGCGTTTTCGTGTGGGTGTTTTCCATCATCATATTGTGATGACTATGGCTTGATTACAAATTGAAAAAAAACTACTACAATCATTACTATTAACCAAGATTCTTTTGATTCGGTTTTTTTTGTAAGATTGGTGATTATAATAAAAAAAAGGAAAACAAAATAACTGGCGTTGGTGTAAGCATCATGTGACAAGAAATAGCCTTATATTTCTTTCTACTTAATTTTCACATTTTAAAAAATAATAAAATGAATTGAAATGAAAAACAAAAACAAATTTCTTTGTTTTTTTTTGAATTTTCAAATTTTCAAGTCAAATTATCTCTCTATCTCTCTCTCTAGTTTGAATAATTAATTCCCGTATTTATTAATTTATTTTGGTGACCATCTTTAATTTTAGCAGAAAAATATTTTAAATGAATTTTCATCTTATTATGTTTGTCAAAATTTTCTCATTTAAAGCTCATTTTTTAATGAATGTCCCATTTGACGATGTTGATGAAGATGATGATCCATGAAACAGGAAAAAAGAGAGAGAGAGAGAGTCGGTGCGTTGTTCTAATTTATATGCCAACTCATTTTCAATGTCTAAACATTAATTTTCGGTAGCGTTCTCTCGTAGTCTTTCCAACAACAACAACGGTGGCTATTTTTATTTTTGATCCAGACCATGTCGAATAATATTATTATTTAGGGGGTGTTCCACCACCATCCATCCTGAAGATAATGATGATGATGATGATGATGAGGAAGATTGCAAATAAGAACCATATGAGAATATGTCCATGGCCGATTTTTTATTTTTGTTTGGCCTGAATTTATCATTCAATGTTTATGTGTTCCAAATTCTTTAATTCGATCTCATCATCATCATGGCCATCATGGATCGATCTAAAAAGTATAGAAAAAAATATACACTCAAATATAGTGTAATAATGACAATAATTTTGTTTTGTCTATATATACATTTCGTATACCTTTCGGATATAATAAATATGATGATGATGATGATGATGATCTCACAAAGACTAAAGATGATGATCTTCTTCTTTTTGAATTTTACAAAGGAAAGGTGACCTAACTATAGACTTCCAACGTGTTCATCATCATTGCACACACACACACACACACAGTTATCATATATGTGTGCCAGAATTTCTCCAATGTTCTCTCTCCCTTTTTCACTAGCATTTACTTTAGTTCATTCAAATTTTCTAGGTGAAAAACACAAGCGCATTGAACGCTCGTATAAATATTTTGAAAATGAATGAGAGAATGTGGTGTGTATGTATGCAGGATCTAGGAATTGGGTTAAAATCCTCTATTCGACCAGAAAAAATTGAACGAACGAATGAATGAACAAACTTGCTCGGAATGAATGGCTCTCAATGAAATATAACGGTTTTCTTGTTGTTGTGTTTTCCATCATCATTCTTTTTCCTTTTCTTTTTCTTCTTTGGGTGGCCTATTTTTTTTTATTTGCTCTCTATAACTCATATGAACAGTGTTGACGAGAATCTCATCGTTTTTCGTTTTTGTTCGTTGTCATCATAATTTGGTTGTAGTGGTCGGATTTTAGTAAATATTATTTTTATATTATTTAATTGCATAACAAGCTATATTTTCATTGAAGAGATAGATATTTTTGTATATGACTAACCAACCATCCAACCGAATAGGATGATGATGGCATAAATGATGGCCAACGACCGACAACCAAAAAAAGAAAAGAAAGTCCGTCCTTGATCGATATTCGTTCATTCATCAATCAATTCATTTTAATCGAATTCATTATGAAAATCAAAAAGTTTCCATCCCCTTTCGCCTTTTATTCGCTCGCGATATGAAGGCTGAGCTTTTGAATGAATGAATGATGATGATTATTATTATTATTATTATTATCATCATCACAATGCCTTCCACACCCTTTTCCTCCAATCATTTTATCTACTGTTAATCTGACAAAAAAAAATCCAATGACATTCTTTTGAAAAAAAATTGTTTTGGATTATAATTAAATTCTAATTCTAATCATAATTATTGCAATAAATATTTGGTGTTCATTCCTGTAACAAAAAAAGAATCAAGAATAGTTCTCTACAATTCCAGAATTGATCTAGTTTTTTTCCTATATATATACATAGATTATGCGTATGCATCTTTGAGCTTTATAAGTATTTCAGCCGTTTCTGGAACAATCATTGTCATGAGAAATCGTAATGATTTTGACAATAATTCAATAAGACTCCACAGAAACACAAAAGGCATTCATAATGTTTTTTTTTTGCTGTTGAATTTCAATCAAATAAATTAATGAAATTTAGTTTTACACACACATTTTAATTTTAGGCATCTTTAATTTATTCATTTAGTTGTTGGATTCTTATGTATCACACACACACGCATACACAAAATATTCCACACATACACTTTTGTTCTTTATTTTTGTTTACTTCATAACGACCATTTTGCTTCGCGCGATGCCCTGTATTCAGAAATTCACAAAAGATTCGTATTTTTTTCCTAGTCGTAGTGTCATTATGGCCAGCCAACAGTATTGTATGCCAATACCACACATATACACACTTTACCAACTTTCCAATTTTATATACCGATTTTTACAAAACGGGGTCATTTGATGATGTCTCCGAAACGGATGGACATACGAAAATGAAAATTTCAGTAAATCTTAATCGTATTCTTAACTAGCTAAATCCAATCTTCATGACAAGATGATAATGAAAATTGTTTCTATGATGATGATGACAATGTATAGATGATGAACAGAATAATTATTATGATGAAACCGAAATTGATGACGACGATGATACACGCACTTCTATGGGAAATTAGCATAGGCGAATTTAGCACTGACTATGATGCCTAAAAACTGTTCGTGTGACCGGATGGGTCGTGTCAGAAAGTTGTCCGCTTGCTTATTTTATAATGATGAAAATGAAAATGATAATACTTTTAGATAAATTTCAATGTTAAAATCAAAATGGGTCATTTTATCCACAACCGTAGAAATAGTGTTAATATTCGTACAGATTCTGGATGTCTCTATTTGAGATGTAATATTTCTCTATGTTTGTTTGTTTGTAAACCAAAATGATGATGATGATGATGATACGGTTCGCGCCGATGCAGCATCACTTATGACTTTTTTTGTTGTTGTTTTTGTTGCATTAAATTTCAATTTCATATGAATTCGACTTTTTGGCATGACCTAGTTTTTTCTGGGAATCTCGTCTC